CCTCAAGCCGCACCCCCTCCCCCTCTTGTTAGCCCAGCCCAGTGACGTGGAACTTACCCAGGAGAGGACTGGCAAATGGGTTTCAGTCGGGTGCCCTCTTTCCAAGGCTTCAAATACTTATTAGTATTTAAAGACACTTTCACCGCATGGGCAGAGGCCTTCCCCAGTAGGACGGAAAAGGCAACCAAAGTGGCTAGAACACTTCTATCAATAAAAGAAATCACTCCTAGGTTCAGGTTACCCCACCACCTCCAGAGTGACAGTGGATCCTCATTCAAAGCCAGGGTTACCCAGCAGCTCTCACAGGCCTTAGGAATCAGATACCACCTGCATTCATCCTGGAGACCTCCATCCTCAGGGAAGGCAGAGCAGGCCAGTCATACCCTAAAGAAAACCGTGGGCAAACTCTGTCAGGAAACACCAGAACCGTGGTACTGCCTGCTGCCAATAGCTCTCCTAAGGGTCAGGGCAACCCCTAAAACAGCTATTAAGTTGAGTCCCTTTGAAATGACACATGGAAGGCCACTCCTCACCCTGGACATGCTAACTGACCCAGAAACCAAGCCCATCTTAAATACATTATAAACCTGGGCCAGGTCCAAATGGCCATAAAAGAACATGGAAACAGAACCCAGCTCTCCCAGATAACAGCCCCAGTCACTCCATTGTAAATCTGGGGACTGGGTGCTTTTAAAGACCTGAAAGAATGAGTCCCCCGGCACCCAGCTACTCCCTAAGTGGAAGGGTCCTTAACAAGTCCTGCTGAGCACCCCTACAGCAGTTAAGCTCCAGGGACTCACGAGTTGGGTCCGTCTGTCCAGGATTAAACCTGCCTCCACTGATATGTTACAGGAACCCGAAGACATATATCCCAGCTATCCCTGTGAACCTACCCAAAACCCTCAAATACCCCTTCTAGGAGGTGATCCCTGAGCCAATGACAACCGCATTGATAAGTAAACTCTCGCTTTGACATTGATTCCTTTGGGACTCTCCGGGTGACAGAAACAAGATAAGTGATGGTAGGCTGGGACTCCATAATTGCTAGTGGGTTTTCGTTTACTATATGATTTCTTTTGATGTTTCTTTGCTATTTGCTATCTGGTTACTTCCGAAATTAAAACGCTGATTGATGCCATTATGAAGTTATCAATCACCCTAACTTTTCTCTCCCTCTTTTGGGGATCCACATCAGGGGAATGGGAATCCAAAGCAGTAGTAAATCTCTCAAGAATTATAGCTCAGGGATAAAATCTACCCCAGTGCTGGATCTGTCATCTCCATCCTCAGAGTGATGCCTATGGGTTAAAAACAAGCTAATCTTTACACCTAGCAGTGACGACCTTACCTTACTGAGAGTCCTTCTAACCCTACTCTTAAAGTTCGTATTCTGTCCCTAGCGCAGCTTCCATGCCTAGACCTTAACCCCTCGCGTCAATATATCTGATGAGAACCACACACTTATTTTAAATTGCAATAAGACTAGCTTGTCTTGCTGCCACTGCCCCTATGCAACCAGCATGAAAACTTGCAGTGGAGAACCTTCAGAATCTGATCAAAGCTTCTGTTACTCCACAATTTAATTGTTCTCACCTGCCCTGACAAATATACAGGTGGAAATCTCACCCATTGGTGCCCTCACCACAAATACAATCAAAGACTAAAAAACAAGGACAAAGCCCAGATGGGATATGTACTTACTGGGCAGGAAAAACACCAATTGTCTGGAGCGTAATGTAGGCCCCCCCAACCCAAGGCCTACGGAAGGGTCCCCACCCCTCATGCCCCCTCATATAATGGTGGGCCTCCCTCCCCAAGCTGTAACGGGATCCCCTCTTGGGCAGGCTCTCTAGAGAATTGGTTTAATTCTACAACAGTGCGTCAGGCATGTGCCCCTTCTGGATATCTGTTCCTTTGTGGTCTAGACATAAACCCATTGCCTCATCAGAACAACCCCAATCCCTCTTTCCCTTTCCTGGGATTAGCTGTAGCCTTTCCTTGTATGGACAGTGCTCTGTTTACGGGACAGTGTATGTTAGGCCAACTGAGTAATCAAAGGAACCTAGGTATTATCTTCCATAATATCACCCACCCCTGGGGCAAAAGGGCAATTGGCCTCATTTTGGCAGGGACTGGAGCTGCTATTGGGTTGGTGTCCCCTTGGGAAGGCTTTGCTTACCATGAAGCAGTGCTCCGCAGACTTTTGGATAACCTTGTCAGCTCTGAGTAGGTCCACAGGGAATGCACTTTCCAAACTTTCGTTGTCTGTTAGTTCCTCAGCTGATGTAGTGATGGATAACAGACTGGTTTTGGACTTTGTTCTGGCTGAACAGAGAGGGGTATTTGCAGTTATTAGTAAGACATGATGTACCCACATCAACACCACTGAGCTAGTAGAAGAGGACATCAAGAAAATATATGACCATGCCAGATGGCTTCATTCCTTCAGACAGGGATACCCAAGCACTGACTCTATCTGGATGCAGTCAGAGGAGTGTTACCAAGTGTAACCTTGTTCTTACCCCTGTTTGGGCCTCTAGTTGCAATAGTCCTTTTACTGATCTTTGGCCCCTGCCTTTTTAATCTGCTTGTTAAGTTTGTTTCTTCCAGCTTGCAGCAATTCCATGTCAAGATGATGGTGATGCAGGGATTCCAGCCACTCCCTGAAAGAGATCCTGCTGGGATAACAGCAGAAGCCTTTCTGGGGTCCCTTGACAAGGCAGGGTGAGAGTTCCACGGCACCAGTTAAGTAGGGTCCATGAGCCCAATGGCAGCCTGAAGAAGCTACAGAAGGACCATCCCCTTTTATCTTCCCAGTAAAGATTCCTTGGGGTCCACACCTCTCAGACGGGATTTGAGGTAGGCGATAGATGGGCCCCAGGCTGAGCAGCTGCAGCCAGTCTTCTGCTGTCACTTTGAGATAAGATGCCAGGAGGAGCATTGGGCCCTGAGACCACAGTTTCCTCATTCTTGTGTTCAAGGGGATTTCTCAGCCCATCACATGTGTAGAGAAGGTCCTCAGTTGTCCCCTAAGGAATTCCAGATAACACAACTCTAGGGGAGGGGCCAAAGGAGGGAAGAGACACCAGCCCCATAATATGTCCTGCCAACCTCCCAGAAACCTTCGAGCTGACCAGGAAGGAACCTGAGTCAGGCCAAATATGGGCACAAGCAAGATGATTGGCTAGGGAAAACCTGGAAGACTGCCCCATATACGCGATCTAAGCCACCCCTATTGGGTGCAGCTAACTGTGCGAGTTCGCCCATGTGCTCTTCTGCATATACTTTGCTTCTCATAAATGCTGTATCTGCTTCACAATCTTGGTCTCTTTGCTGAATTCTTTCTTCAAAGAAGACAAGGAGCAAAGTCCTTTTACCAGCCATTTCACTGCTGTAATCAATAGGAATTTTTACTGCTTTGATTTTTCTGCTCTATAAGTTCAGATTTTTGTATTTTCTGCTTTTTTTAATGTAAAAAGTGATCCATATTGTTTGTATCAATTTGAACAATACAGATGCATGTAAATTGAAGAGTACGTAGATTTTTTTTCCAGTCCCATTCCTCAGTTATTATTACTGTTGGTATTTTTGCATTTAGCGTTTTAGGTGTCTGTTCTTTGTACTGAGCAAATATGTGTTCCCAGTTGTTGTTATTGTTGTTAGTTTGCTATAGTATGTCAGTCTTTTCTGCAATTTTCTCCTGTTATATAAAGTATTGCTGCTATCTTTCTATATATTATGTTTAATGTTTAGGATGTTATACAGTATTCACATTTTGGTGCACAATTTTTCCTTCTTTGAAAAATGTTTTTTAAATGAGATTCTTATACATTAAAAAGATAATTTGCATTTTTTTTCACTCTATGGAGTTATCTACTATGAATTTTTGACATGGAAGTCCATTTGGTCACTCTCAAAAATTGCTTTGAGTAGATTATTCAGTAAGACTCGTAGAGTAAAATTACTGTCTAATTTTTCCCCTCTAAGTTTTCAGTGGCTTTTACCATAGTCCTTCTTAAAGGTTTTATATACATTTAATTTTTAAATATTTACTTCACATTTTGTAGTATGAATGTATATGATCATGAACATTTAGATTATTTTTCACTATTATAGTTTTGTTGTGAATATTTGTGTATATGTATCTTTTAGCAGATGTGTGTGTTTGTAAAATAGATTCCTAAAATTGTATCACAGGTTATGCACATTAAAAATTAAATAAAATAACTTCTCCTAAATCTAAATAGTATATTCTTTTTATATTGGTTAGGTCAGCATAAATGAATGTATTTACATAAATGAATATGTTGAGGAATTAAATAAATGTTCTATGGAAATCATTATTTATACTTTTAATAAGTAAGCGCAAATTTCTAAAACAGGCTTTATAACAGATGTTATTTTCTGTTATGGTCATATAGTCTCAAGTTACTAGTAAATACTTCCTTGAACTATAAAAATGATCTTTTACTATTGCATGAAAGTTCTTGCTTTTTTAGTAAACAGATTTAGAAATTCAATTTTACGATCATAAGAGGGCATAAGAATAATATAAATTTTATTCCTTCTCCTATGTAAACATTACATTTCTTATATAAATGAAGACTAATTGTTAATCTAGTGCTTTACAATTCCAAAGGACAGTAATTGCGTTTCCATTAGTTTACAGGTTTTTAGCAAGACTTCTGCTTCAATAAATAAACTTGTCTCTGGTTTTAATTTGAACAAAAAAGTGAAGTCAGAGGTGTTTGGGTTTAATATAATTTATTTCCACGTTTGAGTGTCTAAAATGTTTCAGGTATTTGTTAAATATGTCATTGTTTTTTATATGCTTTCTCCTTTTAGTTTTTTACTGAAAGGAAAATTAAAGTTTAAAAACTAAATTAAAATGAAATTATATTAAAATTTTAAAAAGAAAGGGAAAATTAAATTAGGTAAAACTCAAACTGGTCTGAAGCCTATATGTATATGTTTGTCCTTTTGCTCTTCTTTTTCTTTAGTTCTGCTTGGGAATTTGAAGGTCCAGCTATCATCTACTGTCCTTCTAGAAGAATGACAGAACGAGTTACAGCTGAACTTAAGAAACTGAAGTTAGCCTGTGGAACATACCATGCAGGACTGAGTATTAACTTAAGGAGACAAGTTCATCATAGGTTCATGAGAGATGAAATTCAGGTGTGAAGATTGATCATCATTACTGTCTGTTCCCCATAGTGGAAACAGATGTTTCTCTAATATTTATTTACAAGATCTTTATTGAATACCTTCTTCTTCTTCTCCTTTTCTTTCCAGGAGGGACAATCAACTTTTTTTTTTTAATTTTTTTTTTTAGTTAAAAATGTTTTAAATTTTTTTAATTTAAATTTTATTTTATATTAGAGTATAGTTGATTTACAGTGTTGTTAATTTCATACTATATATAAAATAGATAACTAATAAGAACCTACTGTGTAGCACAGGGAACTCTATTCAATACTCTGTAATGACCTATATGGGAATAGAATCTAAAAAAGAGTGGATATACATATATGTATAACTGACTCACTTTGCTGTACAGCAGAAACTAACACAAAATTGTAAGTCAACTATACTCCAATAAAAAAATTAATTAAAAAATTTCTTTAAAGTTGGAATTGAATTTCATAATTTAAGTCTAATCGTGAAAAATATTCATTTTTTGTTTAAAAAAATCGAAAAACAAAATGGTATATAAAAACATTTCAGGTGTACAGCCAAGTGATTTATTCATACATATACATTTGAATACCTTCTTTCTGATGAGCATAAAGCAGTCACTCTGATAGAATCAGTATATAATGTGGGAGATAGATATGTAAGAAAACTATTGCAGGCTAATATAAATGGCAGCCTGTACATAGAATAGTGTTTAGGTGCACAGGGGAGGGAATGCTGGCTGTTAAGTTAGGTCGTGTAATGGGGTTGGTTCACCCAGGAAGAAGCAATCCGAATAGAATCTGAACAAGTGAATAACAGTTTGTCAAGTATGCAAGGCCAGGAGGTGATGAGGGAAAAGGAATAGGTTATAGAATTCCAGGAAGAAGGACTGGCATGTGCAAAGGCACTGTGATATGAGAGAGCGTACTGGGTTCAGGAAATGGTGAGTAGTTTGCAATGGTTGGAGAAGAAGGGAGTATGGAGTAGGAAGGGCACAAAGTATAGGTAAGAAGGCAGGGAGGAATGGTGGAGACTCGTAGGAAAAGAGTTGAATGGGTTGTTTGGCCAGGTTGTAGAGGGTCTTAAAACTTGCAAAGAGGCAAGCTGGGATTGGTGTGAAGTTTCTCTAGTTTTTCCAGACTACTTTAGCCGTAGAATTCTTTATTTAAATGAAATTTTATCTAATAGGTAAAACAGATTAAAGTAGAATCATTCTTGTTGAAGTTGATGTGACGGATGAAGGGGTCCAAGAGCTTCCCTATCTCCAAGTCAGTCCCTGGGGGTATTTTAGAATCCTCAAAGTTCTGCAGAACAGAATTTGGAAACCACTGTGACAGACTACTCTATATTTTTGAGCAAGATAATAGTATTATAGAAACATTAGACTGGGAGCACCAAGTAGGACTGATCTGAAGGAGAAAAACTGAAGAAAGGAAGGGTATTGATGAAATTATTGTAAAGTGTTACGGCTGAGATTCATAAAATGACTGGAATCCTGTTTCAGTGGGTGTCATACAGATTATTTGGGAAGATTTAAATTCAAGCCATGTGAGCAGGTTTAAATCAACACCATCAACATCATTTCCACACCCTGTCGCTATAAGCCTGGACTAGTCATCTCAAATTGAGAAGAACTTAACTTCTGCTTTGCATTTTCTGTCAAATAGGTCATCAGTTTCCTCTGTATCTAGATCTCTGTCTATGCAGTTCACTGTGCATTGTCATGATGCAATGCATACCTGCCTGAAGGCATCTGTTCTCTTTCTTCCTCTTCTTTCCAAAGTTAGGAACAGCTATCACAACTGCCTGGAGTAGAGATTTTATCCAAATTCTTAAATGCTTACATGTTTATTCTGTTATCTCTGGAGCTTGAAAAGTATCAGATAAAATTTATTAGCTGCTGCTTATTGAATCTTAACAATCGAGAGCCAATAATTGACCAGTTGTTTCTTCTATCTTGGTGTATTACTAATTATTCATTTAGATAGAAACATCTCCCAAAGATATGAGGGAGACAAGATTTTTTTTCTTTCCTATTATTCATAACCAAATCTAACCACATTTGGATGTAGATTTGCATTTTGAGTTCGTGACCATTCATTCTTTTAATCCTGACTTTTAGTTTTATGTCCTTTTGTATTTTATTTGCCTTTTCAAGATGGCCTGAATTCCTTTCCTGTCTGGAATGAGGTTATGAATAAATTATTGGATAAAATATCTTCATTTACACCTGAGCGTCTATGAGGATATTTTGAAAATCATGTCTGCAGAATAGGTTGATCTCATCTAAAAGCAGTATCATATGATGAAAATTAGATCTTAAAAGTTCTCATCATACAAATACACATATACACACAGACACAGATACATACACACACAGTAATCATGTGAGGTGATGGAGGTGTTAAGTAACTTTGCTGAGGTAATGTCGCAGTATATACGTACATCAAATCATCATGTTATATATTTTAAACTTACATAGTGTTATATTTCAGTTATATCTCAATAAAGCTGAAAAAAATTGAATAAGAAATAACATTTTAAAAAAGAAAAGTTGGAATTATTATATTGCTTATTTACTCTTAAATACAGCAAAACTGTCTAGTTTTATTCACTCAGAGCTTTTTTTTTAATATTATTTCCATCCCTAGATTTATTTTTCTTTCATCTTTCTCATACTTCCCTTTATTTGTCCTCCCTCCCTCCCTTCCTCTTTTTTCTACTCTTGATGCATCTTAACACATTTTTAAAAATGGCACTTTAATATTTATCAGTTATACACACACATAGTTTAACAAACCAAATCGTTCTCCAGTGCTTACAATGAAAAGCGTCAGCCCCTCATTCTTTCCCTGCTTCTTTTTCCTACTCTCATCGCTTTTAGCTTAGTCTTTTGGTGTTTGCCGCTGTATCTTACAATAATTTGCTTATACTGCTGCTACTTAGTTTATTTATTTATTTGCTTATGAGATTTAGGCATTATCTCTGTTTCCCTGCTATGAAAGATGAAGATGTAGCTCTTTCACATCCCTTCCTGCCCTTCTCACCCTATCCAGAAGTTTCTACCCCCTTCACTTCCAATATTAATACCATAATTTTGGTTAGATCAGTATATATATTCAAATATTATATATTTATGTATTCTCTATAAATGTTTTTTATCTGTAAGACATGTAGTATATTTACAGTTACTTGTACATATTTTGTATTCTTATTATTAATACTTTAAAAAAAATTTGTGTAGTTTTTTTTGGTGCTTACCACTAATTTTTCCCTAAGATTTCCCCTAGTCATGTAAATCTGATCTTGGTATACTCATTCATATTAGATATTCTACCAATTTTATCCTTTTAAATATGCAGAGATAAATTCATGATTCATTCTGCCATCTTTAATGAGAAGCTTCCTTCTACCTTAGAATAATGCTAGAAAATATTAAGATACTATGCAGTCTTGAAACTTCATAATATTATCCCAAAGGCTCATTTAATATAATAAATAGTTTAAGAGCCTCTTTTCTGTCTTGTACTCATGTGCATTCAGAGAAACCACTTTATTTGCTTCTTTTAATAGAGAGGGAACAAATCCTATTTTATGGTCACCATTCCTTAACCTGTAAATTGGGCAGATAATCTTTTAATCTATAAGCAATTGGTTGAAATTATATTAAATTCAGTTTCGTGCCATGACTTTAGTTAATTAGTTAATGAACTAATTATTCTTACCAAAAGGTAAACATGTAAGGTTTTAGTTCTGCTAAATGATTGTCAAACTATGTTGTTATTTTATTCTCAGTGTGTAATAGCTACCATAGCTTTTGGAATGGGCATTAATAAAGCTGACATTCGCCAAGTCATTCATTACGGTGCTCCTAAGGAAATGGAATCATATTACCAGGAGATCGGTAGAGCTGGCCGTGATGGACTTCAAAGTTCTTGTCATGTACTTTGGGCTCCAGGAGACTTTAACACAAATAGGTAAAAACATCTATTGCTTTCACCCTTGCAGATTTCTTTCTTTCCACATAAGCTTCGAAAGTATTTGAGACAACATTCAAAATTTAAAGTAATATGTATAAGTGCCTTTAAAACCAAAAGAAAACAGAAGACGTCTAAGAAGAACTTTGTGGTGTGTTGCTACCCAGAGGAGATGACCTAATTTCTTCTATACCTCATTTAGTGTGAAGAGTTAACTAAAACAGCACTATACTGGGAATGTAACGTAGATCTTATGGAACACTTTTTTTCTTCTTTTTTTTGCGGTACGTGGGCCTCTCACTGCTGTGGCCTCTCCCGTTGCGGAGCACAGGCTCCGGACGCACAGGCTCGGTGGCCATGGCTCACGGGCCCAGCTGCTCCGCGGCATGTGGGATCTTCCCGGACCGGGGCACGAACCCGTGTCCCCTGCATTGGCAGGCGGACTCTCAACCACTGCGCCACCAGGGAAGCCCTATGGAACACTTTTTAATATTGTTCATCGATGAGCTGTTTTTCTCCTCAGGTTCTCTCAAGTTTTGATATGTCTTCAGCCATAGTTACTTTAGATACCATTTATTTTGTTTTTATTTTTTTCTTCTCATGCTGCCATGGTGCTTATTCTAAATGACTTCTACCAATCCCAGTTTGTCCCTAATTACCATTTTTATTTCCTTTGTTAGTTCTAGGAGAGCATGCCAGCTCTCCTTGGCAGTGTGTGAATGATCATGTTGCCCTGTACTGACTGACTGCCATGGAAAAAAATATTGTACTTAGTTTCTAGATACAGGAAAACCATTCCACTTAAGTACTAAACAGGTATCTTGTTGGCACTTATGTTCTGTGAGATTGATATTGAAAGGAAAACTTCATCTTGCAAAGTTTTAGGGGCAGGTTTACCAACTTCTTTCTTCATCCATAAGAAAAAAAAATTGAAGAAAAAAAAACCTATACATGGTAACTGATGGGCCTGCCGAGATGAGGTGTTTTCAGAATGCACCTCCATATAGCTACATAAGTTGAGCTCTTGGATGGACCTATTAGCCCATCTTATTAAAATGACGAAAGTGGCTATCTAATACAGTTTTTGTTTTTATTTATTACTCAACAATTTTTTTTGGAGTACTCACTATGTTCCAAGCATTATGCTTTGTGCCGGGGATCCAATGGTAAATAAAAGCAGATATAGTACCTGTTTTTATAGAGTTTACTGTATAATGGGAATAGCAGGTCTTAGTCACAGAATCATACAACCGCGGATACATAGTGTTCATTTTACTGCTCTTTTGTGTTTGAAAATTTGAATAACCAAACGATTTTTTGAAAAGGATCATGCAAATTTGTATAAAATTAAAACTGTGTTAAGTGCTATGAAGGAAATTGCATTGAGTAGTGAGTATATTATGGGTGTGTGTTTACCAAGTTATAAAGGTCAGATAAGGCTTCCTTGAGGAAGTAATGGGTTAACTTGAGATATGAAAGAAGAATAGGGATTAATTAGGTAAGAATGTTTGCTATAAATTTTAAGCTTCTTTTAAGAGTAGTCACTAACTTTTGTTTCTTAACATACAGTCAATAAACCATCTTCTTAAGAAGAACAATTATTATTTTCCTTTTGACACTGGTGTCTATGTGAAGCTTTTTATAAACTAATTTTAAATAATTGGGATAGAACACAGCTCTGCATGCTACAATTAAATTTGGGATTGCATCAAACATAAGTTGATTCCTACCAGTTCTGATTTTATTTGTGCATTGTGTTAAAGATGCTGAAGACTTAACAGCCCAAGTTTTATATTGTGGCTTGGCAGGTTCATCAATAGATATAGTTCCTGTGTATCTGAGTCTCAAAAGATATTTTAAATGGTTATCTCATTAAGATTTAACAGGGAGTAACAGTGATTAGTAATCAAATAGTGGTGCCGGGAAATCCACTCTTGAATCTTTAGTACAGACAGGTTGTTCTTTGCATCCATATTAAAGGAAATAAAACTATAGGGCTAATCAGCATTAAAAAAAATTTCAGCAAGGATCGAGGCCCAGATCTCTGCCATCCTTGTGACAAACCTCTTCTATTAGAAAAAACAAAGTTTTAGAATAAATGGAATAGCTGGTTTTCAAATGAAAAGATCACTGTAATTCACAAAATTTTTAGTCTGTCTTATGCTAGAATCCTGTGACTGAGAGAAGAAACTTGTCCAATCATCAGCGTAAATATGCAATTTTATATTTTTTATTGGCAAAGTCTCAATGTCTGCACCTGCCATTATTTAAAACAGTCAAACCCAATAGTTACTGTAATCTTTGTTTAAAGGGAATAATTTGCAAATTAATCTCAGTTTAACAAATCTTCCACTGGCTCCACCTGATTTCTATTTATGGTATTGTTTTTAGAATATTTCTTCTTTTTCAACTTGTTTTTATTCTGTGGAATATTATACTGTAATGATTTTGATGGTCCTAAAAGAAGAATAAATATTCATTTGATTTGTTGTTAGAGACTTGTTACTTTATTTTCTTCAATTTGTTACTGAAACTGATGAGATTAGTTAAATGTAGATCGTGGGAACCAAACATAAGGGAAGCTCTAGCTCTCAGAGTGTGGGCATTGTTTCCTTTGTTCTTTCTATCTGAGGAGAAAGAGGTGAGCTAAACAAACAAAACAGAGCAAAAAAAGGAACTAATATTTAGCCCATGAGCTAGGAATAATGAGGTTAGATGGTTGACCTAGGAACTAGAGTCAATCGTTGGAAGAGACTTTTTAGGGAAATTACATGGAAAGGCATGGTGGTTGGTGGTGTCAAATGATAAGAATGTTTTTGAATAAGAGATCATTTGTGTGTCCAGACTTTCCAGAGCTCACTTAACTGGATTCCCTGTGGGTGTCATCCTTGAGAATTGTACAGAGGTATTTTTATCAGTTAGAAAGCTGTACAGTCAAAACATGAGTGATGAGGATCAGTATTATCACTTAGATCTTGTGGATAAATTATTTTCTTTTGAAATATTTGAAACCTATTCAACTCAGATTTTTCTTTATTCTCAGAAAGATATACAAAGACTATTTGGAAGATTATCATCATCTGATGTACGATAGTCATGGAATTTCTTCACAGGAGAGTAGAATTAACAGTCAGGATGAGGTATAGCAGCATTAACTTAAAAAAAAACCCATGTATTTAGTGTTATTTAAAAAGTTTATATAAATTCAGTATTATGGGGGAAAAAATGGTTAGAATTGTTTGAGGAAGGAACTTAATTCTGATATTTTATTAGTGTCCTATAATGCCCCATAATACAAAGAGGTAGTTTTTAGAGGGCTGAGAAGTTCTCTGAAGAGCTAAAGTGATGAAGGTTCATATTTAGATCATGAGTCTTTTTCAGTATTCCTTATATAGATTAGATGCCTTTAGTTTCTCATATAAAATAACTTAAAGAATAACCTTTTACTGGGAAAAGGTAAAAATTCACGTATAGTAGAAATATTGCCAAAAAAGCAAGTAGCATATAAGTCAAAATGAAGAACTTTAGGGTTTTAACAGTTTTTCATAGGCAGCTAAAAAATTGATGCTTGGACATGGGTAGAATTCTTTCAAAAGTAATTTTCATAAAAATCAGAAAAATGCTTGCCTCTTATGGGGGCATTGACTGGGAAGGGACACAATAACTTGCTGAGATGATAGAAATGTTCTTTATCTTGTTAGCACTGTGGATGTTATAGACTATGAAAAATAAACAGGAATAAATAAATGAAATAAAACTAATACAATTTTAATAGTACTGTGGTATTTTTAATTGACAGGTGCCTCCTTAGTGAAATATGCAATGAAAAGTTTCGATTATACAAATTAAAGATGATGGCAAAGATGTATAGATATCTTAATTCCAGAATGTGTAGGCGACAGTAAGTATTATTTACTTTATATCAGTTAATAACAAGGATGTATAGATAATATTCTTAAGGAAAAAGTTTTGCAAAGTAATTAGAAGTATTTAAAAGATATTTGATGGTGTTAACATATGTGCTGAATTTTTAAGGCAACTTGCTTTGTGCCTCAGTAAACTGAAGCCAAATAATGAGGTCTCAGCTGAATCAATTAATGTTGATTTCACCTCATTATTTTCAACAATGAATTTAACATGTATGTTTTTGTTCTTTTATTTAATTTTAAAATTTTCTCTTGGGTAGACTCATCTTGTCTCATTTTGAAGACAAACAGCTAGGAAAGGCCTCCGTGGGAATTATGGGAACTGAAAATTGCTGTGATAATTGCAGGTCCAGGTAACATTTCCTTCTTCTAGATGGACATTCTAAAAGTCTTTGTTTCTCTTCCTTTGCAAATAATTTTTAATTGAATTTTTGTTGAGTGATATGTATTGCAGTTTTTTAAAAACAAAATAATGAATTTATTTATTGAAAAAGAGGACAAAGCAAACAGTATTACAATCTTTTACTTTTATAAATAGATCAATTAATGGTAGACCTAAATCTAAACATATCAATAGTTATATTAAATGTAAATGATCTAAAAATACCATTTAGGGCTTCCCTGGTGGCGCAGTGGTTGAGGACCCTGCTGATGCAGGGGACACGGGTTCGTGCCCTGGTCCGGGAAGATCCCACATGCCGTGGAGCGGCTGGGCCGGTGAGCCATGGCTCCTGAGCCTGTGTGTCCGGAGCCTGTGCTTCGCAATGGGAGAGGCCACAACAGTGAGAAGCCCGCGTACCGCAAAAAAAAAAAAAAAAAAAAAAAATAACATTTAAAGGCAAAAGTTGTTAGAATTGGTTTAAAAATATGACCCAACCAAATGCTGTCCACAAGAAATCCACTATAGGTATAATTATATAGGTAGATTAAAAATAAAAAGATAAAAACTGTATACCATGAAAACATTAATCAAAAGAAAGCTGGAGTTGTTACTTTTAATGTCAGATAATGGAGACTTTGGAGGAAGAATATTAGCAGGGATAAAGAAGGACATTACATGATGATAAAAGAGTTTACCAATGTATCAGTCAGGGTTCTCCAGAGCAATACATGCACATATGTGTACACACACACACGCACACGCACACACACACAGACAGAGAGATAATGAGAGAGGGAGAGAGAGGTTAATTTTAAGGTATTGGCTCATGCAGTTGTAGGGGTTGGCAAGTCTGAAATCTGTAGGCAGCCTAGCAGGCTGGAAAGTTGGGCAGGGTTTCTACATTACAGTTTTGAGTCACAATTCCTTGTTCTCCAGCCAACCTCAGTCTTTGCTCTTTAAGGCCTTCATCTGATTGAATGAGACCTACTCACATTATCAAGGGTCAGCTCCTTTACCTAAAGTCAACTGATTGTAAATGTTAATCCCATCTACAAAATACCTTTATAGCAACATCTAGGTTAGTGTTTGACCAAATGACTGGGTACCATAAGCTGACACACAAAGATAACCATTATATCCAAGAACACCTAATCCTAAATGTGTATATACTTTGAAAAGAACTGACCGAATTGAAAGGAGAAATCGAGAAATCTGTAAGTAGAGTTGGTGACTTCAGCATCTCTCAGTAATTAATAGAGCTGGTAGACAGAAAATCAGTAAGAAAATAGAAGAAATGGAACAGGACTGTCAGCAGACTGTCTAATTGACTTTTATAGAACATTCCACCTAACAACAGCAGATACACGTTCTTTTCAGGTGCAGATGGAATGTTCATGAAAATAGACTGTATTCTGGATCATAAAACAAACCTTAACACATTTAAAAGATTTGTATTTATACAGAATACATTTTCTAACTAAAATGGAATGAAACTAGAAATCAACAGCAGAAAGATAACAGGAAAGTCTCCAAACACTTGGAAATTAAGTAACACACTACTAAATAATCCATTAGTCAAAGAGGAAGTCTCAAGGTAAATCAGAAAATATTTTGAACTGAGTGAAATGAAAATACAAAATGTATGGGGTACAGCTAAAGTGATACTGACAGGGAAGATTAGAGCATTAAATACTTACAGTAGAAGGGTTTCAAATTAGTAATTAAGCTTCCACCTTAAACTAGCAAATAAGGGTAAAGAAAACTAAAAGGAAGCAGAAGGAAGGAAAGAATAAAGATAAGAGCATAAATCAATAGAAAACAAAAACAATTGGAGAAAACCAATGAACTCAAAAACTCATTCTTTGAAAAGGTCAATAAAACTGATAGAAAGTTCTAAAAAGAAAAAAAAAAAAGAAGACGAGGAGACACAGATTACCAATATCAGAACTGAGAGAGGGAATTTCACTCTAGCCACAACAGACATTAAAAGGATAATGAGGAAATACTATGAATAACTCAGTGCACATACATTCAGTAATTTAGGTGAAATGGACCAATTCCTTGAAAACCTCAGACTAATAAAACTCACTCACACACACACAAAAAAAACAAAAAAAAAAAACCCCTCACTCACAATGAAGTACATAACCTGAATAATCCTACCACTGTTGAAGAAATTGGATCCTTGTTAAAAACTTCCAAAAATAAAATTCCCTAGCCCAAGTGATTTCAGTGGCAAATTCTGCCCCCCCCAAAAGAAGAAATAATGCCAGTTCTACTATTTATGTGATATTCTCTCAAACATAAAACTGCACTGTAGAGATGAAGAAAAGATTAGTGGTTGCCAGAGATTAGAGGGATGGGGTCAAGGTTGTGATTACAAAGGAATAGCATAAGGGAGTATTTTGCAGTGATGGATTTGTTGCATGTTCTGATTGTGGTGATGGTTAGAAGAATCTATGAATGTGTTTAAATTTGTAGACCTTAACACACACACACAGACATACAATCAATTTAACTGTATATTAATTGAGAAAATAAAATACAAATGGTGTATGCAGTTGAGCTAACCATATACTAGGTGTGGTAGCTGTATACTGTTAGACAGAAGGAGTTTTATTAGGGATGGAGACGGTCTCTATGCAGTGATAAATGGTTCCTCCACCAAGAGGACAGAATTGTTCTATGCACCTTAAAAAAAACCCCTACAACTATGTAAAGCACAGACTGACAGAAAAGCTGGAAGAAATCAACAATTCCACCATCAAAGTAGGAGAGGTTGATTATAATTTTTAGTTATTGGTAGGTTAAGCAATCAAAAAATTAGGAAGCAGTAGAAAATCTGGTCAATATGGTAACAAGTCTGATTTATTGGACATGCAGTATGTAGAAGCCTTTACCAAGCAATTAGAGTAATGTGTCTCAAACATTTTTACTTCGTGACCCACATAGTTAATGGCTAATTGAGTCTAGGTTCTGTTCAGAACCCTAAGGTCTCAAGGGATTAACCTTCAGCACACCTATAATCCATTTGTAGCACACGGGCTGGGAAGCGCGGAATTAGAGACTATACTTCTCAAACATAGATGGCATATTTATAAAAATGAACTATAGGGACTTCCCTCGTGGCGCAGTGGTTAAGAATCCTCCTGCCAATGCAGGGGACACGGGTTCGAGCCCTGGTCCGGGAAGATCCCACATGCCACAGAGCAACTAAGTCCGTGCGCCACAACTACTGAGCCTGCGCTCAAGAGCCTGTGAGCTACCACTGCTGAGCCCGTGAGCCACGACTACTGAAGCCCGTGCGCCTAGAGCCCATGCTCCACAACAAGAGAAGCCACTGCAATGAGAAGCCTGCGCACCGCAACGAAGAGAAGCCCCTGCTCGCCACAACTAGAGAAAGCCCGTGCACAGCAATGAAGACCCAACACAGCCAAAAATAAATAAATAAAAATTTTAAAATGTACTATATATTAAAGCAGTGGGTGGCAAACTATGGCCCATGGACCAAATCCACTCACTGCCTATTTTTGTAAATAAAGTTTTTTTGTAATACAGCCATGCCCTTTTGTTTATATATTATCTATGGCTGTTTTTGCAGAGTTGAGCTAAGTAGTTGTGACACAGAGCTTGTCTGGCCCACAAAGCCTAAGCTGTTTACTGTCTGGCCCTTTATAGGAAGAGTTTTCTGACCTCTGTACTAGACTGTAACCTGTCTCAAGTTTTCAGTGTATTGGTTTCAAACACACCACATTATCTGGCCAGAATGCAACAGAATTAGAAGTAAACAAGAGAATAAAAAGGGAAATTCTCATTCATTTGGAAATTTAAAATAATGCTCTAAAGTAACTCGTCAATCAAGGAAAAAACTCAAACTGGAAATTAACACATTTTTAGAACTTAGTGATAATTACAGTAATATACATTAAAACTTGTATGCTGCAGCATAGGTGATACTTGGTGGGAATTTGATAGCTTTAAATACTCGTATTAGAAAAGAAAATTAATGAACTAAGTATCCTATTAAAGAAGTTAAAATAGAGAATAAACCTAAACATAGCCTTTTTTCCCCTAAAAATATATCTAGAATACTGACTATATTCTTACTGCTATTTCAAAGATATTTATTATAAAGAAAGCAACTGAATTAGGTAGTTGAACTATATTAGTTGATTTTTTCTGAGTCCTTTTGTTCTCAACATGCCATAAAGAATTCTCATTTGTATTAATGAGAATTAATACAAATGAGAATTTCATTAATTTGTGTTAATGATAATTTCTACCTGAAGGATGGCTTAGGAATTTAACTTCTAAATGGACTTACATGAAAAGCTTATAATCTTTGGTCATATTTTAAAGTATGACTTTAACAACTTCTTGCAAAGGAGATGTGTTTTTTCAGTTCAGAAGTTTTGCGACAGGGGTGGGGGTAGGCAATAAACCTTTTCTTCCATCAAAACCTAACACAAAAGTCCAGTATTTATACAGTAGATCAAGTGGAGCTATTTGAGCTGTAATCCTGCGTTCTGCTTGCTTGAACCTGTTTCTTTCTATGGCCCAAGATACCTCCTGTGAAACTTGGATCCTAGGGCACTAGTGTCGAGAACCATTAATATAACATACCTGTGATGCTATATTATCGTTTATATTTCATGTTTTACATACTTTACATGCTCTCAGCTGTATTGAACTTTATTTTTAGCTTCTGAAGCAGTTGGCACATTTGAGATATTTTTTTACTGGGCTAACTGTTACACTAAATCTTTTTATTTCTAAAGGTACATGCCTTGGCTAAGCTTTCTTTACATATTGTTTTTATTTAGATTGGATCGCTGCTTTTCCATTGATGACTCAGATGATATGTCACAGGACTTTGGTCCACAAGCATTCCAGCTCTTATCTGCCGTGACCATCTTAGGCGAAAAGTTTGGAATTGGGGTTCCAATTCTATTTCTCCGAGGATCTGTAAGTATGTCTGTGAGTCACCTTCAGAGTTCTTCTTTTACTCCTATTACACTTTTCTTCAGAGGTTTGCTGTTTTACAATTATAGCTTTGACTTTAGTTATCAGAACTCAGAGAGTCATATTAAGTTCCATTTAAGCACTGCATTCATTACCTTAGACAAAACCTGTGTGTATCATTAAGGCAATGCTTCCAGGCTGTCTGTTTCAGTTTATTACATTGCAGTTAGATGAATCCCTAGACTGGTCTTTTATAGGATAATTAAGAAAAGTTTACTTTCATTGTGTCAAGGGACAGGTAGAACAAATTTGTATCTTGGTGCCCTGTGAAGTAGTAAATTTTTTGAGCAAAATTTAAGTTTCAGTGATTATTTGTAAATGTCTAAGTTCAATAATAATATTTGGTAGTATATTTTTTCTTTCCTTCTATTTTATTTCTAATCAGAAGTATTTAAAATTCTAAGAAAGTTCTTTTTCTTCACGAATGAATAGTTAATTCTGTTACTTTTTTTTTTTTTTTTTGAGTGATTAGTGTGCCAGCATTATGCTAACAGTTGCAGGTACAAATATGAGTAGGTCATGACCCTTATAGCCAAAGAGCTTTTTCTGTAGTCCTTTTGTTTATATGATTTTATTCTTGATTTAGAAGTCTGTAAAGTTAAGTAGTATATATTGACGTTAGTTGAATAAACCAAAAATGGGAGATAGAATCCTTTGCAACTACATATATTTATTAAAAATATACTAAAAGTGGAGATTAAAATTCTCACTTTGTAGAATTTTTTTTTAAGTTTTGTTTTCTTTCTTTCTTTACCTATTTTACTTATTTATTTTTGGCTGTGTTGGGTCTTTGTTGCTGTGTGTGGGCTTTTCTCTAGTTGCGGTGAGCGGGGGCTACTCTTTGTTGCGGTGTGCAGGTTTCTCATTGTGGTGGTTTCTCTTGTTGCGGAGCACGGGCTCCAGGTGCCCTGGCTTCAGTAGCTGTGGCTCGCGGGCTCTAGATGCAGGCTCAGCAGTTGTGGCTCAGAGGCTTAGTTGCTCCACAGCAACTAATGTGGGATCCTCCCGGACCAGGACTTGAACCCGGTCCCCTGTATTGGCAGGCGGATTCTTAACCACTGCGCCACCAAGGAAGCCCTGGATGTAGAATTTTAAAAATAATTTAGGTCAGCATTCATTTCTTAACTTCTCAAATACTTTGTGTAAATATTTACTTTCTGAGTTTTTGTTTTGTTTTGAAAGGGACTTATTAAGTTAGCCAGTTGCGAAATACTAATGAAATGCTAAAAATATGTTAACTTCAGGTACTGATGTTTTTAGATTATGGAGTTTAAAATTTTGTTCTTAAATCTCAAGTTTGGTTAGAAATTTAACGGTAGAAGTGTTGCCTAAGGAACTTGGTTTAGCTGATATGAGTGCTATTTGTTTTTAAAAAAGAATTTAAGTTGCAAGCGATAGATTTAATGTAATTGAGATCTATGAAAATTTCTTGTCTCTGTCATCTTTAAAACCTGTGTATCCCAGCTGAATGTATAATTTATAAAAATTATCCTTGTTTTAATTTGGTGTAATCCAGCAGTATCCAGTATCAACAGATAAGTGGAAGTGGGCTCCTAGACAAACTTGAACTGGTCACAAGACGGATCAGATTTCACCTATTATTTGAAAACCAAGTCAGACTGCTTATACCAACAGTCTCTTCTGGGAGTCTGCAAATTAAGAAGTTTATTCTTTGTGAAATTTTATATTACCCTTGCTAGATAAAGGTGTAAAACTTTTTTAAAAAGCCACTTAACGGGCTTCCCTGGTGGCGCAGTGGTTGAGAGTCCGCCTGCCGGTGCAGGGGACACAGGTTTGTGCCCCGGTCGGGGAAGATCGCACATGCTGCGGAGAAGCCTGTGAGCCATGGCCGCTGAGCCTGCACGTTCGGAGCCTGTGCTCCGCAGCGGGAGAGGCCACAACAGTGAGCGGCCCGCGTACTGCAAAAAAAAAAAAAAAAAAAAAGCCACAACGAAAATTTGTAGACATTAAATACAGTGAAAATAAGGCAAGTTTTTTTCCCCCAATTTCAGTGATCTTGGTATCTACTGGGATATCATTTTTTAAATTATAATTGTATTTCCTTTGAGAATTTAGTGAATTGTCTACCTTAACTAATTTAGGAAAAATTAATATCTTTACAGATAATTTTCATTTGTAAGATGATTAAGTATCTTAAACTTGAAACTCTTGGAGTTCATTTAAAGAGATAATATTTGTACATATGAAACAAATATTTCAGCAGCACATGATTCTCCTCTCTTACATAGGATGTTTAAAAATAGTATAAAAATAGTATAAATGATTATTCAGGCCATTCAGGTGTTTGTGAATGGAGTTTAAAATTTTGTTTTTAAAGCATAAGTTTTGCTGGAAATTAAATAGTAGAAATATTGCCTAAGGAACTTTGTTTTAGGGGTCTAAATAGCTCACCACATAGAAATCTTTTTTTATTTTTTTGCAGTACGCGGGCCTCTCACTGTTGTGGCCTCTCCCGGGATCTTCCCGGACCGGGGCATGAACCCGTGTCCCCTGCATCGGCAGGCGAACTCTCAACCACTGCGCCACCAGGGAAGCCCCACATAAAAATCTTTAAACACCTTTGTGAATTAAGTATTAAGATATGCAGTTATCTTAATTTTACAGATTAGAAAACAGACACAGTCATTAATTTGCATAATCAGGAGATTAAGTGAAACCTCTTTCCTGATCATGTTATCAAAGTGCTCCAGAATTAGAGAACACTTTTGATAAAAGATGCTTTGACTATAGGCAGCCATTGGGAAACTATTGTTAGTTTTAATTACCCTTTATAATTTTCAAACTTTCTAACAGGAGAGGGTTATCTGTTTAATTTTTCGGACAAGCTATTTCATCAGGTTGAAATATATTCCTAGAGATAATTATTGTAACTTTATATTTTGCCTTTATTGTTCACATAGAATAACAGTCCAAGAAATGACCTTTTTAAGCCCTGAAGCGGCAGCTGTGAACTTCCTTGGCCTGTAGGAACTGGGAAAGAGGCAAAAGAAAAAAAAAATTAGTTAAAATGTAGACAGAAACTATGGACTTATTTTGTACTTTAAGAACACAGGAATCTAAAACTTCTTAAGAGTTTATAACTACTTTTTTCTGCTAGTTATTAAACTTTTTTTTTTTTTTTTTTTGCGCTGCGCTGCATGGCATGCGGGATCTTAGTTCCCCAACCAGGGATCAAACCCGTGCTCCTTGCAGTGGAAGCATGGACTCCTGACCACTGGACTGCCAGGGAATTCCCAAAACATCTATTTTTGTGTGAGCTACTGTACTCTGTTTTGTGGGGAATTCAAAGTGGAATTAGATGAGACATCATCTAATATGGAAGGTGTGTTACTTGAGAATAAATAAGTATATCGCAGCATAAAAAGAGATCGGGGACATATGAATAGATATAAAGTATTATTTAAGTTCTGAAGAGAGAGTGCTTGTTAATGGCTGTGAAACTAGAGAAGTCTTTGTTATGGTATCACTGGCGCTTTTCTGTTCTGTGGATGATAAGAGTAGATTTGGGCATTGAGAGCCAACCCGAGGGAAGAAGGTGGAGAGGAATGTGGCATTCCCAGCTGAAAGAACTACCACAACAAGCAATCGTCATTTTTAAAGAAGCTAATTTAGAGAAGTGGCAAGTTTGTTTGTTTTCTCTATCAGATAATGGTGCGGAAGATTTGGCTTTTATTAGAAAGTGATCCTTTGGGACTTGTACTCTGGCCAGTCGGCCCCCTTTATTCTAACACACATCGATCTGTTCATAGGTTTCCAAATTCCCTGATGCATCCGTTTGGTACCCTAATTTTTCCAGCCTGCTTTTTAAAGGAGAAGAGTGGGTTGATAACTTCCATTTTTGAGACTTTGTCCCATAGAAGTAGAGACTCTTAGAGCAAAAAGATTATTTAACTCTACCACCTTATTATACAGTGGTTAATACTAAGTCCCAGAAAGTTAAATGACCTGTGTCATGTCAGGTCATTACTTTGTGCCAGAAGCAGGATGAGCGACAGCTTTCCTAACGTTCTGTTGCTGTGTCTGTTTTATTATGCTGTTCACATGCAGTTTTAAATTTGTATTTTTAGGTTGAATGATCTAGATACTAGAATGAAGATTTATGATTGGTAAGGGATATGTGCATGTATAATTGTGCACTCCTTGAAATCAGTGCCCAAATCCCTATATCCGCTATGGCAGCTTTCTCATCCTTAGCAGTTTTACTTCGTCAGTGGGTTAACCTGGAAAATTAAGTTAACTAGAACATATAAGTAATTAATGGAAGATGCCTCGCTCAGAGTAAGAAATTGTTAGACATCTGTGGTTTTTGTTTTTTTTTTTTAAGACATTTGTTGTTGAAAATCCTTATTCTGTTTTTTCAGAAATGTTACTTGGGTAAATTTGGATTTCTCGTTGAAAAGGGAATATGATTTCTTTAAAACAAAATGATCTGTGTCGAAGAGCAGAAATATTTCGTTTTATGTATGGTGATTGCCATGGAAACATGACAGTGTAAATTTATTCACACAGTACACAGTATTCACAATGATTATTGATCATGAGGGGAAGGGACAGTTACCCCTACCAATTAGAAGAACATCTCATTTCTTCATATCAGCAAATGTGTTCATTCACTTCAGGTTGTTTTCTGCTTACGAAAGGGAAGGCTAGAGGAATAATTTCTAGTGTCCAGATTGCTAATAAGTACCAGTTAGGCAACTTAATATCTTTGGTGTTATTAGTTTGCAAGCAATAGATTCTCCTACTATAAAGGTAAGCCCCCAGCAGGTGTAGAATGCCATTACAAATGTTCTGGGAAAACTGACTTAATACTGAGTCAGGGCTTTTGCTTTTATGTTAAGGAAGGCAGGCTAAGTTAAAGGATAAGAAGTATTATTATACTTGTATAGCAGCTGAGGAAATAGAAACACAGGTAAGTTAAGTAACTGACTTGCCCAAAATTCAAAAGCTAGTAAGTACTGGAGCTGTGACTTGAACCCAGGTGGTCTAGTTGCACTAACTACAATCAGTATATATGTATATGTATGTATATTGGTGTCTGTGTGTTTGTGTGTATATATATCCCTGGTGTAGTGGTCTGGAGGACTGTGTCCTAGTCTTACCTCTGTGACCTTAGGCTACCACTTAACATCTTTGAGCCTCTGATTGTATCTGAGTAAAAATGACTAGATAGATCAATGAGCTCCAATGTTCCTTCCAGATCTGAAATTCTGTGATGTTTGATTTTAAACATTCTACACAAATCAAACCAAAGTCAGTTAGTATAGGTAGTAGAGGTTGTTGTGGAAAAAGGTGCTACGTTGTACGTGGGTGTTTCTGTTTCTCTGAATCTTGTTCTAGTACAATTTTTGTAAATATAATCACCATGATACTAAAGCTTTATTACTTAGCTATTTTAATACAAAATTCAATTTCAATTTCAATTTTTAGAATGCACGTTACAGACCTTGTTAATTAAACCTATAAGAAGTCTGTGTTTTAAAAAAGCTCAGTGTATCTGGGCACTGATGTGTCTCTGATGGGAACTTTCCTAATCTAATCTAATTTCAGCCTAGATTTCTTTATGTGAGGGATCAGTCTTTTTAGGTTATTTCACTTGTATTCACATTTTTAACATTCCAAAATGATAAACTTGTAACCGTAACGTTTTCATCAGTTGAACAAAACCAATACATTTGTAATATAGTGAGGCTTCTAGTGCTTGAGTTATGTCTGCTGGAACTCATTCTGTATATTCTTTCCATTTTGATCCCTGGATTTGAATATGCACTGATTGTTAAACCATCATTAGAGTGTAGATGAAATATAAAAATGTTGAGTGACAGGATGTACCTATTTCTCAAATTTTAGATTGCATTTCATATTGAAAATTTTAGAATACAGGAACTTCTTGACATACTCTAGGAGTGAATGTTTTTGAAACATGAATATAACCTAAAATACAGTATTTGTTATGAAGCACATGATCAGTCTAGCGAATTTAAACAGAAAGGTATTTATTACTGGGTGTTAAGTGGCTTAGAGTATTGTTGATAAGATTATACTGCAAAATAATCTTCCATGGAAGCAGTTGCCTCTTCTGTGGTTAAGAAGTTATCTGTCAGTGCCTGACCCCAAACTATGCTGAATAGGGAGCTGTAACAATCAGGAAGGTTCTACTTCTGCTTGATCTGGGAGCTGCCTTCTATAATCTGTATCAACAAAATGAATGTCTCCTGTTACTTAGGAAGCTAGAAGCTGTATGCTAGGTTCTTTGCTAACACTTTCTCATAAAAAGCAAACCCCTCCACAGTCATGCATACCTGCAAATACAGCAAAGTAGACCCCTTTGCCTCACTTCCTGCGTGTAGATGTCATGCAAAAATACCTTTGTTTAGTGGAACTTAAATCACATCCAGAAGCCTAGTTGAAAGAAAGTTTGAGAAATAGTGTTTGCAACTTCCCAGATTCTGTGGTAGAAGTCACAGTGGAGGAAGGGCAGAATGACCCTCGAATTACAATCTGCTGTATTCACCGCAAATACATTAGATAGAAGCAATTCTCCAGAGAGCCCTATGTTTATATAGTACCATACACATTTAAAAGTAGTATTTAGATGTGTAGGATGGATGAAGGAGGTAATCAGGGACTTCCCTGGTGACACAGTGGTTAAGAATCTGCCTGCTAATGCAGGGGACATGGGTTCGAGCCCTGGTCTGGGAAGATCCCACATGCCTCAGAGCAGCTAAGCCCGTGCGCCACAACTACCGAGCCTACGCTCTAGAGACCACGAGCCACAACTACTGAGCCCGCGTGCCACAGCTACTGAAGCCCGTGTGCCTAGAGCCTGTGCTCCACAACAAGAGAAGCCACCGCAATGAGAAGCCCGTGCACCGCAATTAAGAGCAGCCCCCGCTCGCCGCAACTAGTGAAAGCCTGTGGGCAGCAACGAAGACCCAATGCATCCAAAAATAAATAAATAAATAAAATTTTATAAAAGGGGTAATCAGAGGGCCAAGTGAATAGAAAAAGTTCTCTGTGGAGAGTGAAGGTGGAGGGAGTCATTTCCATTAGAGGACAAGAGAATTGCATATGATGGGCTAGCTTCCCCAATATTTCTAGACCTTGATGGCTATGAAGAGTCTCCGATCGGAATCCTCTGGTCACTTAGGGAAGAATATCTCAAAAGCATCAACTGTCTAGCATGCACCTGCTTTTTCTGATGTATCTCAGTGAAGCAGCTAAATCAGAAATAATTAAGTAAACTTTGCTGAAACATCACGGACAAAAAGCACAGTAATGACAACAACGCAGTGGAAACCTGAGTCTTGGCACTGCACTCACTGATTACCAGCTATGGGTCACACTGCCTTTAACACCCATGCTTCAAGTCTTGAGCTGTAGATTTATGATCACCGTTTTCAAACAATGTGAGTATGTTAATAAAAGGTCTAAATAGCAAAGGTTAAATATTCCAAATATATCCAAACCTATGCATTGGGAAATGCATGTGATTTATATATGAAATTTCCTGCCATTATTTAAAACAGAAAAGGAACACTATTTTGAGTGTATTTATTTGTGACTTAAGTAATCAGAGCAAGCAGGAGGGGTATAAAAATTCCGTAGGTTTTTAAAGCTGAAATTTAGTGTTAAAGCCAAAGAATCAGTAGACGATTTCGTGTTTTACATCTCCTGTTTAATTAAATAAACATTTTAAGAAATTGATTTTATGCCTAATTTCAGAATTCCCAGCGTCTTGAAGATAAATATCGCAGTCACAATTTCTTTGGCACTGGCAAGGATCACACAGAGAATTGGTGGAAGGTTTTTTCCCATCAGCTCATAACTGAGGGATTCTTGGTAGAAGTTCCTGGGCAAAGCAAATTTGTAAAGATTTGCATCCTTACAGAAAAGGTAAACAATGTAGAAGTCTGCCTGTTTGATTGAATTTTCTCACTGTGCATTAAACGATTCTTCTTGTGTTCAATAGGGTAGAAATTGGCTTGCTAAAGCCAAAACAGAATCTCCTCAGAGCCTTATCCTTCAAGCTAATGAAGAATTGTGTCCAAAGGAGTTTTTTCTACCAAGGTTCATTTTTCAGTTTTTTTTTAACTTCTGGGTTTTCTGTTATTTAAATGATTCATTTTGTACCAATTTACAGGTACCACACAAAGTAAAATGAGTAAAGATAATCATTTTTGCATACCTCTTTGAGTCAATTTGGTGTGGGAGTCAGTAGGGAGAATGATAAATCATAGAACACTGTCTTGGTGAATAGGAAGTAGATGACTATAGTACTTAGAAAGCTGCTCCTGTTGATTAAAGAAGTGTATAGCACAGGGAACTATATTCAGTATCTTGTAATAAACTATACTGGAAAAGAATCAGGAAAAAAAAGAATATAGATACGTATATGTATAACCAAGTAACTTTGCTGTACACCTGAAACTAATACAATATTGTAAATCGACTATGCTTCAATTAAAATAAATAAATAAATAAAATAAAGAAGCAACATTGAGGTAAATGTTGAAGAATCTATATACCATATTTCCTTCTTATGTATAGAGGACAGGGAGGGAATACACATGTTGCCTACTTTTTAGTACCTTTACATGTTATCGATCATTTTTCAATTTTTTTTTAAATTGAAATATAATTGACATTTAACATTGTGTAAGTTTGAAGTGTACAAGTGTTGGTTTGATACATTTGTATATTGCATTGTGATTATGGCAATAGTGTTAGATAACACTTTTATCACATCACTTGAATAGCACTTCTTTTTTGTGTAGAGAACAAATAAGATCTAGTCTCTGAGCAACTTTGAAGTTTATAATACAGTATTATTGACTATAACCATTATGTTGTACTTTAGATTATCAGTTTTACTTTTAAACTTAAAAAACTTTAAAGAGTTATAAATCTAGACTTTGAAGAGCTTAAGCTCTTTGGAGGGGAAAAATCAATTTAAAAAAGCATCAGTTCTAAAAGAGTAATATAACCTTATCTGCCTTTCTAAGAGTGGAGGTGTGATGATTCATGTATTAGAAAATTACATTTTAACATTTGAGATAATTTAATTTTATTATTTTTCAGTTCTAAAGCTGTATCTTCCGGCACTGAGCAACATTCCTCTAATCAAGTACCAATTGAATTAACTTCAGAGGTTTGTTTTTATTAAAGAGATGGTTCTTATTATTTCATTCTTTATTGATGCAACTCCTGTTTAAAATTTTTCTGTTTCATTTCCACTCAAAGAGGAAAATGCCATATATAACAAGATATAAAATGTGGAAAGAGAAATGATATGAACAGAATAAAATATGCAATATATGATTTCTGGGGTTAATAGAACAGAAGTATCTGAGAAAGTAATGTTTATTTTTTTTCTTTTAAGCCTCTTTTATAACTAATTTGGCTTGGATATTATAACACTTCTTATAATATCTTTTTTTGGATATTATAATACTTTTAGTTGATGGAAAAATAAGCCTGATTCCTAAATGTTCTCATTACAATTACATAGACACATACACATACACACCTTTTCTTGCTTTGTTTTGGATCTTAGGTAATTACAGATTAAATACTTATCCACAGGCTGACTTCCACTAATGAGGATACTAGGGTGATGGGGTGATGGATCAATGTGCTGAATTAAATTTTCTGGTGAACTTTCTCTGCTTTATTAAAGTATACACAATGTAATTGAATCATTTTTGTGACTTTGGCTCTTGCTATGTCTCTAAGAATTCTTTTGATCATATATTCTCTATAGATTTGGGAGGAATGGGATATTACATTGCATTTCTAACTGCCTTTAGAGCCCTAGAAGTTGATAATTCATGAGCTTATTTTCAGATGATTTATTTGATGAGTTGGTTAGTAAAAGGAAAAATCATTGTAATATTTTATATCTTATTTTCTTCATTTTAAAAAGTTTTTTGAAACTTCTCTCTTTTTTCTTTTTGAATGGACCTTTATATGTTTAAAAGCAGCCCAGCTTGTATAAGATGTATTCTTACAAAGCACGTGATAAAATTTCTTCTGGGAGTAACATTCCTGAAAAAAGGTACAGAATTCACATTTTTATTTTCTATGCTCACTTTATTTGCACTTTTTCTCATTCTTTCCTAGAGAGAAAGGTCTGTCAGATGTTGGGCTATTTCATTGGCAGAAGGAAGTTAAAACATAAGCCTCTAGTATTATAATTATTAAAGCAGACTTATAAAATGATAGTTTTAATATTAATTTAATAGCTGACACTTCTGGACATTATTATTTGCCAGACTCTGTGCTAAATGCTAAGCATTTTATAAGTAATATCTCATTTAATTCTTACAGTAACCTATGAGTTAGCTACTATTATTTATCCCCATTTTACAGTTGAAGAGACTAAAGGTTAAGAAGTTAACTAACTTGTTAGGAGCATCCATCTAACAAGAGAGCTGACTTTCAGAACAATATTTGTCAACCTCTAGCATCTAAACACTATTATTATATAATATTTGTATGAAATATATATCTTCCCACTCCATTTAAAAAAAAAGATCTTATGGGAACATAAAATGGTAGATATTGGGGTTGGTAGAGAATAAAGGTAATGCATCTATTGTGCTTTCAAGCTTAATGACTTTCTGACTTAAAAGTGTAGAGAATGTACAGAATTACAGAAGGTCTGAAAATGGAGAACTTAAAGAACTTGTTAGGACATATGCACAGATTAAGTGGACTACACTTACATACATAGCAGGTGAAAGAAAATGGTTTGTTCTTTAACGGTTTGCTCACTTAGATAGGTAATACTACTTTGGATCTGATAGAAACATTTACCATAATACCAGTCTTCCACCCCAAATAATTTCTTTTTGTTTGGATATATATACTGTGTTTAATGTAAACAAAAGGTTTAAGGAGTGTGCAAAACAATATACCTGTTCAATATGCTGAAGCATTTCTTCATTTAAACATTCCCTGTGGCATCTTCTTTGTGCCATGTACTATTCTAGGCACTGGAATAATAGAGACATAGTCACTGGCCCTCCCAGAGTTTATATTCTAGTGGGATATACACGTAAGGGAACAGAAAATTACAATCCAGGGTGTAACACTTTGGAAACACTTTGGAAGTGACACTTGAGGCTTAAGTAGCAGTTGGGTGAAGTGAAGGGATGTTTTCTAAGCAGAGGAATGGTCCACGTACTAAAACCTGAAAGCAAGAGAGGGTATGACATGATTGAGGGGTTCAGCAGTTTGCTAGCAATTCCCTGATAGAGGGAAGCAAGGGAGTGGGAAAATTTAAGACTGGAGAGTTGAACAGGGTCTCAAATATCCAGTTCCTTTCAAGCACTCGATTTGATCATAAAAGCAGTTGGGCACTAAGGAAAGGTTTTAGGCAGAACAGTGACATGATCAAATTTATGGTTGAGAACAGGGGTTGACAAACATGAAGGATCAGATAGGAAATAATTTAGGCTTTGAGGGCCATGTGGTCTCCGTCTCAACTACACAGCTTTGCCGTTGTGGCCTTAAAGCAGCCATGGATGATATGTAAATGAATGAGTATGGCTGTGTTCCAATAAAACTTTATTTAGGGACACTGAAATTTGATTTTCATATAATTTTCATATAATTTTCACATGCCACAAAATGTTTTCCTCTTGATTTTTTTAACTATTAAAAAATGTAGAAGCAGCCATTCTTAACTACAAGCCTTACCAGAACAGACAGGTTTGGCCTGTGCATCCCTAGCATGCCGACCCGTGGTAGATGACTCTGTCTGTGGAGGGAATGGACTGCAGGGGGATCATAGTTGTAGAGACACAAATAGGGAGGCTGTTGTTGTGTTGTTTGCAAGAGGCTATGGTAGATTAGTCAAGGGAAGTGGCAGTGGGTGGGGAGAGAGAGATTTGTAAGATATTTAGGAGATGGAATTGCTAGGACTCGGTGATTGAAAAGATAGGCAGGTTAAGGAAGATGGAGAACTTGACTGTGAAGCTTGGGTTTTTGTCTTTGATGGTGGGTGAGTGCTGCCATTTCCTTCACTGGGCTATGTAAGAGGAAGACAGGTTTGAAGGGCTGCATGTTTAGGGGATGAGGTTAAATTAGTTTAGTGATAGACATACTAAGTTTGAGACAACTGTCGAGTGGTCCAGAAGTTAATTTTAATATATGGGCTTAGTGTACAGAAGTGAAAAGGATGCTTACATATCCATAACTATTATTTTAAATTTCATTTGAATTTTCATCAAAATAATACATGTGAATGTTTTTAAAAGTCAGTTGAGACTTAAAGGCATATAACAAAGCACACTAGTTCACACCCTTCTCAAACCCATTTTGTTGTGTTCTATAGAAGCAATCACCCTCAGATCTTCTGACCAGTTTCTATGGTATTGGCCTCCACATTTCTTTTTTTAAAAACACCTTTTTGGGACTTCCCTGGCAGTCCAGTGGTTAAGACTCTGCGCTTCCAATGCAGCAGGCGTGGGTTCGATCCCTGGTCTGGGGGAGCTAAGATCCCACCTGCTGTGCAGTGCGGCCAAAAAAACAAACACCGTTTCAGCATATATTTTATTAATATTTATTGTACATTTCTCCTTGAAAGGCTGAAAAAAGGTGGAGAAAAGGCTAAGAAAGAGGGCTATTGTTGACAATACCTCATCTTTCCTTTTTTTTAAAATTGAAGTATAGTTGATTTACAATATAGTTTCAGGTGATCCAGTATTCTTGCAGATTATACTCCGTTAAAAGTTATTACAAGATAATGGCTGCAATTCCTTGTACTATAAAATACACCCTTGTTGCTTATATATTTTATATATAGTAGTTTGTATCTTTCAATCCCATACCCCTAATTAGCCCCTCCCCTCTTCCCTCTTCCCTTTGGTGCAAAACCTGTGAGTTTTGCATATACAGTCATTTGTATTATTTTTTAGATTCCACATACAAGTGATATCATACAGTATTTGCCTTTCTCTTCCTGACTTATTTCACTACGCATAATATTCTCTAGGTCCATCCATGTTGTTGTAAATAGCAGAATTTCATTCTTTTTTATGGCTGAGTAATATTCCATTGTATGTATCTACACCATATCTTTTTTATCCATTTGTCTGTTGATGGGCATTTGGGTTGCTTCCGTATCTTGACTGTTGTAAATAGTGAACATTGAGGTGCATGTATCTTTTTGTATTAGTGTTTTTGTTTTTTCTGGCTGTGTACCTAGGAGTGGATTGCTGGATCGTATGGTAGCTCTATTTTTAGTGTTTTGAGGAACCTCCATACTGTTGTCCATAGTGGTTGCCTCAGTTTACATTCCCACCAACAGTGTAGGAGGGTTCCCTTTTCTCCACACCCTCTCCAGCATTTGTTATTTGTAGACTCTTTGATGGTAGCCATTCTGACAGGTATGAGGTTGCCTCCGTATTTCTAAGTGACATGCTTAGATTACTATTTTTTTGACTTACCAGTTTTAGAAATTTTCTGTTGATATCCTATAATGGTAAATTAGGGCTTGTCTCCCATATCCCCTTCCCTTCATTTCTTCTCCATCAATGTCACCCCCGCCTTCCTTAGAACAAAATTATATTTCAGTTTTTGGTCAAATTAATAATTTGTTTTTACATTATTGTATCTACTCAAATATTATATAACACTAAGGCAATCTGTGTTATTATGGTCACCACTCTTAATTTTCCTTGATGTTAATAATTCTCTTTTTTATTTTCTTTACTTGTTTAGTGTTCCAATTACTAATTTTTTTTTATAGTAGGTCCTCGTTGGTTATCTTTTTAAAATATAGCAGTGTGTACATGTCAGTCCCAAATTCTGAATCTACCCCTCTCCCCAACCCTTCCTCCCTGGTAACCATAAATTCATTCTCTAAGTCTGTGAGTCTGTTTCTGTTTTGTAAACAAGTTCATTTGTATCACTTTTTTTTTTTTTAGATTCCACTTATAAGCGATATCATAATGCTATTGGTCTTTCTCTGTCTGACTTACTTCACTTAGTGTGAAAATTTCCAGGTCCATCCATGTTGCTGCAAATGGCATTATTTCGTTGTTTTTAATGGCTGAGTAAGCTATTATTAATTTTTATTTTCTCCTATTTTCAATCTGTTTTTATTTGTTTACTCTCTTGGAGAGTTCCTTGACTTTATATCCCCTCCCATCTGTTGACATTTTAATTTTAGATATCAAATTTTTAATTTCTAAGAACTATTTGTTCTTATTCTCTTTCTTTAATCATGTATAGCAGTCTTTTCTTGATTCATGGTTACAAGATTTCCACTTATCTCTTCAATGATATTCATTATATATTTTGGGGTTTGTTTAAAGATTTTCATGATTTTTCTATCATAATTTATTCCAGACTTACTGAGATTCCTTTTTATTAAAATAAATTTATTTATTCTTATTTATTTTTGGCTGCATTGGGTCTTCATTGCTGCACATGGGCTTTCTCTAGTTGCGGCGAGCGGGGGCTACCCTTCATTGCGGTGCATGGGCTTCTCATTGCGGTGGCTTCTCTTGTTGCAGAGCACGGGCTCTAGGCGAGTGGGCTTCAGTAGTTGTGGCACGTGGGCTCAGTAGTTGTGGCTCACGGGCTCTAGAGCACAGGCTCAGTAGTTGTGGCGCAGGGGCTTAGTTGCTTCGCAGCATGTGGGATCTTCCCGAACCAGGGCTCGAACCCATGTCCCCTGCATTGGCAGGCAGATTCTTAACCACTGCACCACCAGGAAGTCCCTTATTATATATTCTGTACTTTTCTTCTGTGCACTTGTAATAGCATTCATAGGCAAAACATTTTCTAGCAAACATTTTCCACATATTTTTCTGCTTCAGGGATATGTTACACAGAATTTTGCCAGTATATATGATAATAAAATTTTTTGTGAAATAATTTAACATACCAATTTGCAAATAGTCCATTAGTATAAAGATTTCCATAAATACTAAGATAAAGGTAAATATCTTATTATTTAAAACAAATTTATAGTTGTCTTGAGTCACCTGCTATGACTAATTCTTTGAACTGGAGTTTTCTTTCCTCATGTTCAAATCTCTTTATTCTAGTGATAAAATCTGATAATTGTAAAAATGAAGTCTTACTTTACACTGTAAATTTTTAATTCTTGAAACAGGGAAATTTATAAACATTTCTTAAATATCAAACATGTTCTTCTCTTTCCCCCCCAAAAGCAGAAATTTATTTAAATTTGACACCTTTTACATAGGCTATTCTATACAATTTCATTTTTGTAACTTTTCCTCTTTATAATTAATTTATCCGTGAAGTTGCCTCTTGTAAAACCTGGTTTTCTATCTAGTTTGCTGTCTTGCGCCTTTCATACCATGTTAATTACTAATTGGGTGTTTTAAATTCTTCTTTCGAGGCGTCAAAGGCAAAATTACTCCTTTTGGCTTATTTTTTTTTAGTTTGATTCTGAAGAAAAATGTGAATAATTTGATTAATTCCATGCTAATGTTCTTCAACAGCCAAAAAATAGTGCTATCACGAGAAGAATTATAGATTGTATCATTCTTGGTTAGAAAAAATTTTACTTTGGTATAGATAAGGAGTATTTTCTTTCAAAGTATTTGATTGAGGAGGAGGAGGCAAATGCTGTTCTTAAATTGCACCAATTTTGTGATTGACTCAAATCATAGTTTTAACTTTACCTCTATAATGAATGTATTTGATACAAAATGTTTAAAATCTAGGCTGTCATTTAAGTAATAGTTGCCTTGCTGGTTTGTGACAAATAAATGTTAATATTGATTTGGAAAGATATTCTCATTCTGGGGGCAAAATAAAAAGTGAACTTGGAGAAAGAAAAGCTTTTATTATTTCTTTTCTTTTAAATGTTTTAGCATCATGGTGCCATCACCAGGAAAATATTACAAGTCCTCAGAACCTGTTATTTCAGCCAAAGAGCAGGAGACTCAGGTATGGCTTTTGTAAAACGGCAGTTCGTTTTTGAGAAGATAGTTATGAGTCTATGCATGCTTAAAATTCTCTTGCCAGTATTTAAAAAATTGTTCTTTAGCTAAGAGTCTAAGATACAGTTCATTTTTCATCCTAAGGGGGAAATGTAATATCTGAAGCTCTAAAAATAAAGGGCTGGATTTTTCTAAGTACATTTAAACAAATGTTGTTTCTTTGCTTTTCGTTCAGACTACATTATATGGCAAATTGGTGGAAGCTAGGCAGAAACATGCCAATAAACTGAATGTTCCTCCAGCTATTCTGGCAACAAATAAGATACTGGTGGATATGGCCCAAATGAGGTAAACTATTTGCATATTTCTAACTTATTTTCTTCTAACATAATAGATTTGTAAAATACATCATTTAGCGATAATATGACTATGGCTCCAGCAGTCACATCCAAGAGGTGGTTCCTAAATCTCCCATGTTGCTGCCAATGGTCTGTTTCTTCACTGAGCTTTAGTCCCACATGAAACCAACTGTTTTCAGCAATCAGATCCAGTGTATATAAAATCTAACTCACTACCCACCAACCCTCCGTACATGCATTTCATGCAAATGCCAAAACTCTTCCTTCTGAATTCCTTATTTTTGTTAGTCATACTATCATGTTCCTAGTCACGCCTGTTTAATACCTCTGATGTTACTGTTACTCTTCTAACATATATTCCCATCTTTCTCTTATTATATAGTTTTTAGACTTTTTCATTTCAGTGTTTCTTCTGTGTCTGTCTATGCTTTCCTTTTTTTAGTGACACCATGGTAGTTCAGACCATTATCCTTTTACTGTTGCAAAAGCCTCTAACTAGTTACTCTTTCTTTCTTCAGCCTCTCTCTCTCTCTGATATATGAATATGATATATGAATACCAAATACCTCTGATATATGAATACCAAATTAATCTTTATCATGTTGTACTTCTGCTTAACTAGTTTCCCACTGTCTTAACTTATTTAGCCCACAATTCAAGGCCTTCCATTTATGGACTTAAACCTTCTTTTCCATCTGAGTCACAGAATTTTAATGCTTAATCTTACCTAGATGGTTTACCATTTGTTTGTCTCCTTTTCAACTTCGATATACTTATTTACAATGTTGCTTCTGACTTGTAGTTTCCTTGATTTCCCAAAACTCCTATTAGGAAATCCTTTAAGATCTGGCTTTATTGTTATTTGCTCCATGAAGCCTTCCATGTTCTTATCAGCAAAGTGATTCCTCTGTGGAATTCATAAAGGACTTTTAAATGTAAATTTAAAAGATGATTCTATGGCACTTATTACATAATGCTTTATTTTTTTGTTATTATTGGTATTCATGTATATGTGTCTTCTAGATTTTAAACTCTGTGATGAAGATGTTATATTCCTCATCTTTTTGTGTTTTCCAAAGTACCTAGCACAATGCCTAATAATCACTAGGTGGTCAATAAATATTTCGAAGAAATTATTTCCAAAGAATTGTTGCTTGGTGATTGTACTCATCTTGTATACTTCCTTTTCAAAAATTGTTTCTGTTGCTAAATTTCATTCAAGAGATGTTACTTTAGAGAAGAATTTTCTAATAATGTTACATAGTGCATATACCTTATAATAATTATTTCATTAAAAATAAATATCCAAAGACCACATTTTATTATTCAGTGAAGATATTTAAAGGAAAAGGAGTAATCATTAGATTGGCAGATTTTTAGAAAGAAGACATCAGACATTCTCTTCATATTGGATACAATAAGAACTATTAAAAGCCTGAAGTAGTTAGTTAGCTAGTTTATTGTTACAGGTAAAAACTTTGTAAATAATGAAAGATTTTCTTCTGAGTTTCTTAGCCTCTTAGTTGTCCTCTAAGAATCATAAAACACAATTACTTGTTTTATACACTGTTTTTGGTTGCTGGAAAAAAATCCATGTTTATTGAGTGTCAGTATTGAAGCTAAATATCTATTAGCTGTGTTGCTGGAGTGGTAACGTTTCAGTGGTTTCTTGACTTTAATTTTTTTAAACGACAGACCTACTACAGTTGAAAATGTGAAAAGGATCGATGGTGTTTCTGAAGGCAAAGCCAGAATGTTGGCCCCTCTGTTGGAAGTCATCAAACATTTCTGTCAAATAAATAGTCTTCAGGTAAAATACTATGGTTTGCAGGAGCTCTGAGAGAATAAACTTTTTTTGACAATTACAAAACACCCTTCAAAAGCAGCATTTTTCATTTCTATGCTGGACACTTAGAAAATGAATCAGATAGTTTCTGTAGTAAATCAGTTATAAAAACATGTTAATTACCTATTTTTTTAAATTGAAGTATAGTTGACTTACAATATTATATTAGTTTCAGATGTACAACATAGTGATTCAATATTTTTATATATTATACTCTAAAGTTATTATAAAATATTGGCTATATGCCCTGTGCTGTACATTACATCCTTGTAACTTATTTGTTTTATACCCAGTAGTTTGTACCTCTTAACTCCCTTCCCCTATCTTGCCCCTTCCTCCACCTCTCTCCCCACTGATAACCACTAGTTACCTAATTTTTAAGATGATTCTGAAGTAATAGTTGTCAAACCTGCTTATGTCGGTTTATTTTGTTGAGAGGTTTCGTTTTTAAATCTGAATAAGTACTGTATTTTAGACTAAGAAATTATTTTACTTTCAAATGTAGATAGAAATTAAAGCTTCATTCATTCATTCACTATTCACTTCTGGGGGATTAGGGGACTAATTTAGAGGCAGAGTGGTCCACATTATAGTTCATTTTTAGTCCCTCTTATTGGCTTAAAGGGAAGACTAGGAATTTCTAGTTTTACAACCATGTTTGTAATTACAAATATTTTATTCAAAACTTATTCCCTCTAGCCTTATTTTACCTTTTAAAATCAATATGTAAAAAATAAAAAAAACTTTTTGAGCTCCTCATAAAAAGGGAATTTGGAGCTGTTCCTTAGAGGTTTTATTTATGTTATTTTTTTCGCTAATAGCTAATGATCATGTTGATATTCTATCAATCATTATATTGATATTATTTTTGATCATTTGTGCTACATTTAAAATTTTGTAGACAGACCTCTTTTCAAGTACAAAACCACAAGAAGAACAGAAGAAAAGTCTGGTGGTGAAAAATAAAGCAAGCTCACTTTCACAGTCTGCAGCCATCACATACTCTTTATTCCAAGAAAAGAAAATGTGTTTGGTAAGTGTTACTTTCAAGTTAGAGGGAATTTTTAAGTTTATCTAAACGTGTTTTATCAGCTTTTCAATATCAAAGTTGAGACTTGGGATACATTTCTTCTAATCCTAGAATATTTTATGTGGTTTCATTTTATAATTAATTTTAGAACAGAATGTCATTTGCTTTTTCTGCTAAGCCCTTTTCTGTTAATTAAGTAAAAACAGCAAGTATAGTTTGACCATGATTATCTTATAGAGGTTGTATCAGAGGTACTGATAAACGCATTTATAGCTTAGGGATATTGGAGCAGCCATATTTTAAGACTCCATTTTTTTTAATGGGATTAATAGTTAAAAAACGATTACTGTATGTACTGATAAGAGATAATCTCCAAGATACATTGTTAAGTAAAAAAAGGAAGATGCATAGCACTGTGAAAAACATACATAAATGTGTATGTATATGTATTTGCATGCTTATATATTCACATATCCTTGGGTATGTATACAAAAGTGCATAGAATATCTCTGAAGGATGTCGAAGAAGCTAGAAATAAGTTAAAAAAAAATAACAAACTTGCTTTTCACTCTATCTCCTCTAGTGTAATGTTCTGTTTTTTTTTTAACCATGTCTGCTTGATGCTCTTTGAAAAAAATCTGATTACTGTGAAAAATGGCCATGCTTAATGCTTCTTCATTGTTTTGGCATAAGTCCTTAAGGCTGTTGAGAGTTTTTAAATATACAAAATGAAGAGGATATCTTAGTGGAATAGGGACAGAATGAGGCTTCCAGCTAAGTTTCACTAATTTGCATTCCTGTCCTCTCTGATGTTAAATTGGTTTAGATTAGGCTGTATGGTCCAGGGCCTGCTTTTCCTGTTCTGTGTCTCCATCCACTAGGCTGTGTTACACACTTTCTATTCTGGTTAATATCCAATATAAATAAGAATAAACAGTCCATAGCTTATTGTAGTCACTTAATATATGTTCTACTTACATAGCCAAACTCCTTAATTAAAAGTACAAAAGCCATTACACAAAGAACCAAATAATTCCATTGAACTATTTTTGAAACATATTACATGATAAATAGGAATTTTAAGTTCATTCTCTTATTTAAACAGTAACTTACATGTACATGTAAAACATGCTTGTATAAACACAATTTGACCAAATTTGTATGGTATAACTGTATATAATTACTAAGAAAATATGGAATAGCCTCCAAATTTTTAAAATAAATTGTATTCTCATACTTAGCCAGGATATGAAGTTTCATGTATTATATTACATATTCATGGTTAAAAATGTGAGGAGTGGTATATCTTCATTTGTGTCTTTTGCTATTATTTGGTTGTATATTATTGTGAAATATTGTGGTGTAATTATCTGTACATCCTAGGAGTCTGAGGGGGTCTTGCCAGTTACCCACAAAATTAAACATGCCTAAGGACTAATTAATCAGGAGGAATAATACAATTAGGTAATACGATGCCTGGTATCAAATAACCCTGACATTATGCACACATGGTACACATCTTCTAGTAGAAAAAGTGTAGACATTTAGTGAAAGTAACTTAAAACCTTCCTTTGAAGGATGAAAATATTGCTTTAAATGCTCTATTTTGTGAAAATATCAGCATTCATACAAATACAGTCCAAATTCAGACTTTCAAGGTGTGTTAAAAAAGAGTGTCATGAAATAATTTTGAGCTGAGTGACTAAACTTTCTGAATGTTTAAAAGAATGTTTTATCTAACAGACATCTTAAATGGATTTGGAGCTACATTTGTTTAAAAGCTACATAAATATGTAACAGTGTCCTTAATTTAGCACAATTCATGTTAAATTCAATGCTAGGCAAATGATGACAGCCACTTGTAAATTGTGGTTATTATTATTTTATGAATAGAGCCAATTTAAAGCACTTTTTAAACTCTTCTTGAGAACCTTTTCTAGAGTACATTTGGAGCCTTATGTTATTGCTAAGCATTTTATGATTTGTCTTCCTGGAAATTCATGTAACTGAAGTACCGTGTATTATTTCAAGTATATACATTATTGGGTTTCAGTTTACTGTATTTTTAAAAGGTTGTGGCAGCTATTAGACTTACGTAGAATGACTACTCTCTGTCACTAATAGGTTTTTAAGGTGAATAATTACAGAGGGATGAGGATTGATTTCTTAGCTAAACCTGGGTGATTTTGCTTTATTCAATATAATAAGTATAAAAAGTAGCAACTGTGGAGTTCTAGCACGTGAGTCATTTTAAAGAATTAGTTAAAATGAGAAATTTAAATGAAGGTTTAGTCCACTGTTTATTTCTCAGTGAACATTTACTACCTGAAGGTTTTGAACCTTGTATTTCTATACAGTACAGTGGAAACTTAAAAAAAACTCACTGGTTGTTTTGCTGCTATTTCTCTAGAAGAGTGTAGCTGAGAACAGGATTCTGCCTCTCGCAGCAGTTGGCATGCACTTGTCCCAAGCGGTGCAAGCTGGCTACCCACTCGATATGGAGCGAGCAGGTCTGACTCCAGAGATTCAGAAGATTATTGCTGATGTTATCCGAAACCCTCCCATCAACTCAGGTGATAACCATGACCTTGGTCTGCAGCCTTAATGACTTGAGTCATTGAACCCAGATGAAGTAAACAAGCAATCCACTAATATTTTTCACTCTGATCGCATTAACCCTTTATGCTACTATGAAAACTTTACTTTTGTAATGCTTTTTATTGTTTTAGAAAAACAACCTTTCTTCCCATTATCATTCAGAGAGAAGTCTGAGTCTGAGAAATTCTGGCTTTTTTTTTCAGCTTCAGGTTACAACTTCCACACCCATCCCCCAAACAGTGCTCTTTCATCCTTTTCTAATTTCTACTTCATCACTTGAAAAAAACACATTCATTCCCCATAGCTCACTGACTTAGTTTTTTTCTGATTCCCTGTCACTGGTTTTACCTAAGTAGCCTTTCTCATCAATACAGTCAATAGTGTCAGGCACTGTGGCATTGAAGGGATGGACTGAGTTCTCTTGGGCCCCTTGTAGAAGGGTTTTCTCCTGTCACTTTGCTACAGAACCTCAACTGTGCTCAAGGAGATCAAGCCCCTTTGTTTGCCTTGCAGAAAATTTAAAAATATGCCTATTTTAAAGTTATGATCCCTTTTTTACAAAAGTAAAGATGAGGTGGATTAGAAGGACTTTCACACCCTAATGTACAAATGTAAACTAGGTGTGTTATAATTCAGTAAATCTGATGTTTTTTTTGACTGTTGGGACAGAGCAGTGGACGTACAAAAAGCCTTATCTCCAAAGCTGCAGTGCAAATAGTTAAACTTATTACCTCAAATTCTTTCCCACTCAGAAACGAGTATACAGTTCTCCCCCCAGATTTAGAAGTAAGGGAAAACAGATCACAATTAATACTATACTTAACTGATCAGAACAAAGGTATTTAAGTCACCTTCGAAGGCAGCATTTGTTCTAGGCTTGAGCAAGACTTGACTGAAGGATACCTCCATCTCTCCTTCCATTGCTCAACCTTGGAGGCAAGGAGAGAGACAGAGGCAAGTTTGGGCAGTGGTCCTCTAAGTTAGTTCCAGGAAACCGAAGTTTCTCTTTTTACTGTACCATGTTAAAGTTGTACTGCCAACTATTTAAAGGAAAGAAATATGCAATTTCTAATCCTGGTCAATGAGACTTCCAAGTGTTTTCAGGGCCTGTTGATAGCTTATGTCAAGATCTTATTTGAGGGAGATACCTTAACAACTAATTCTGCTTCTGTATCACAGCTTTCTGGTTATGATTTGATTTCCCGTGTAGGTCTGTCTATAGGGAAAATATGCTCTAGTCTTGCTATTCTGGGTACTTATCTATATGATAGTTGTGAATTCATAATTGGAAATTAATGAATTGGCATTTTGTGAGCTTGGTTAATGTGGCTCTATTAAGGTTAAAGTAGGTTTGTAAATCTGAAAACGTGAGGGCCAAATCCTGTACTGCGATAAAATATCCAGGGTCACTTAGCTGTGAGTCATCTTGTGAGGAAGCCAGCAAGCTCTCCTGGTCATTCTCCAGTCTTTCTAACTTCAGCAACCATTTTGCTAGAAATTAAGGAAGAGGAAGGACAACAGTAATTAATTGCAGGGTTAGAATTGGGATTGTATAAAACCTCTCTTTCTCCAATGCAGAATGAAATAGTATTTTAGAGAAAGTCAAAGACTCAGATGCCTTCTTGATTTTAATACCCTAGAATTATTTTTTCCTTTATGTATGTATTGTCTCTCAGGATTTAGAGAAAGATATATCTTTGATGAGCTGTTTGATAGTATGCAGTATTCTCTGAGTTTGTGCACTTTTTTTCCCTTTTCCCTATTGTCTTTACTATTATACACTGAGTATAGCAAATAAATTTTCATTCAGTTAAATATTAAATTGAAATTCCAGAGAACAATGGAATTTAAATTATACTTATTAAACACTTATTTCATCTTTCTGTCAATACACTGTATATAGGTTGTACAAATAATACGAAAAAATATATTATTGTAATTTACTTCCAAAGCCAAAATTGAGAAAGATAAGTATCATGAGCTCTAAACTTTATTTGTTTTGATTGTATGGTTATAGTCTGTAATATATCATTTATTGATGTGAAATTGTATTTTTGAATTTGTATTTTTCCTTAATAAAAAACTATTTGTTCTCTTATTGGAGGAAACATTGTTGAGTTATAAATTATAATAAGAAATGAAGATATCTATGCCATACTAATGATTCAGATATGATATTTCACCTTTTACTTAACTGTAGCCATATCACGTAATTTGGTGTTTTAATGAACAAGTTTGTTGGCATTTAAATTTTGCACAATCTTGAATTGAGAATTTTCTATATTTTATTATGGCATAATCTTAATCTTAAAATAGAGTATTTGTGAATTGAGAAATTATATCTATTATTTTCATGCTATCTTATTTGCTAAGTAGGTTTTGTCCTTGTAACAATATTTTAAGGAATTCTGTACCTTTTTATTCTTTTAGCTTCTTCCATGTTTACATGACTTTAAGCTGCTTTTTTTATGGAGTTGAGATTCTAACTATGCTTAATAATAAATGAAGCAAAGTATTTAATGAGGTACCTGGAAAGTATTTTTAATAATTTTGTTCTTTCATTATTTATGTGCATGTAACTAGAAAATTAAGGGTGGCTTCCAAGGGACCTGCCACAAAAGCAGGGGTAATATGATCTCTTCTAAGCACTGAAAGAATGCAGGCAGTGCTCATTATTTCACTCTCCAATAGATATTTTCAGCACTTACTTGTGTGGAAAGTTAGGGCAAATAAGATCTGAAAATAAAATATCTTTCCCAGAAAACTTATTTAAATAATAGGCATTTTAAATAGTTGACGTGTTTTGTTATGCTTCGATAGCCATTGAAAGAATCCTTTTTATTAGCATCTTATTTACAAGTATGATTAGCTTCTATTTTAAGGCTAAATTATTTTCAAAAAATTAACTTATAATTGATATTTGGAATTTCTGTGGATGGTGGTTTTGATTCTCAGGGCAGCCCTCAAAAGACGGTTTGAAACAAAAGTTAAGCAGAGTCGATAGCCTGACCTGACTCTGGGTCTTGGAAGCAGGGGTGCAGGTGGTGCAGGAGTGAGGGGACATGTTTTACTCCATTTCTGTTCTGTAAGGGGATAGGCATTTGAAAGAGGAACATTTTCTTTGGCCACCTTCCTCCTTCCTTTCTACAAAACATGTCACTATTTCCAGCTCATAGGTTTTCTGCAGTGTTCTGTGTAATTTATTTTTAAATCTTTTTTTTTCATCCTTTACAGATACAAATAAAATTAAACTAATTAGAATGTATGTTCCTGAAAACATTGACACCTACCTTATCTACATGGCAACTGAGATCCTGGAAAAAGGCTGCGAAAACAGGATGCTATGCCAATCTTCATGTGATTCCAGCAAAAAGAGATGTTTCCCCAACTCTGAAGAGAGCTGTTCAAGTTCTAAGAGAAAGAAGGAAGAAGTGGGCACTAATACCAAGGTGTTAATTATATGTAGAATTTTCATGTAGTGTCAGATCGCTCAATTTGCATATCTTAATACCAGAATGCTGTATTTTTTGAACTGTTATAAATTCTGATAGAAGGTTACTTTTTAGAAAATCTCGGTGCTGTATTTCCGTTGCTTTTCATAAATCCAATCTGAGAAAAGAGATTTTTTAAACAGTGGGAAAAGAGGAATATAGTCCATCTATTTAGCTTATTGTATGAGAATGTCAGCTTAAATTTTACCTCTACCTTATATTGACTATATAGTCTGGAAATTCTCTTTCTTTCATAGATACCTATTTAATATTGGCTGTAAGCATATGGTAGTTTATGTGGTTAATGAAAATAAGACCAAATTCTATGATATATACCTCCCCAGATATTGGAATTTGTCTATCATTCTGTTACTCCTCAGGCTCTGTTCCTGTTATAGTGAATCTCTCAGGTACAAGGATAATTGTTGCTCATGGTCCTGGCCATATCCCAGTGCACTTTTTGCATGATCAGAGAAAGACCATGAGTTTAGTATTATTTTTACACGGTATATTTTATTAAAATAAATGCTTTGAATATTATTGCTCTGTGTGTTACATGAGATAAATAAATAGTCATCAGAGAATAACTATTCTTTGACATTGTGACTCTACTAAATGATTGCAAAGACTTGAAAATTTGACCTTTAATATCTTCCAGGTCTAAAGTTCCATGATAAAAGTTTGTGAAAACTATAATTAACTCAAAAATTACTTTAGTTCCTAGATGATAAATTCAGCATGGTGGCAGGTGGTTGCTACTATTTATATTAGAGAATTAGGGACTTTATTTCAGTTCTAAGTAATCTTTATAGGATTTCCAACAGTTAAACTCCTTTTCTCAATAGCTTAAAAAGTAAGAGGAACTGATCTTTTAAAATTCTGTCCTTCAGTTAGATTTGTATATAGTCATGTACTAGATAACCTAATGAAATTTTATTAAGGAATTCTTTACATTATTTTGGCAATTGAATTAGCTCTAAGAAGGGCATTACTAACACACCACTGTAAAGCAATTATACTCCAATAAAAATGTTAAAAAAAAAAGGGCATTAAAGGAGGTACACGTTGGGCAGGTGGTAGTGAAATTTGGCTGCTATTCCCAGCCTTTTATTTCTGAAATCTATACCAGGTGCCTAAGACCTTATTTTTTTCCCAACTGTATATGTCAATAGGAAAAGGTGTAACTTGTTATTTTTCCTGAATATTGAAGCACATTTATAGTGAAATACTGTTATAACCACACATTAATATTATTGCTTTCCTCCTATTGAAATAACATCATATTCTGAAAAAAGAGTGGAGGTATTTTGTGGGGGGTGGGTGGAAATTAAGCCTACCGGATTCAGCCTTTTCTTTTTCCCCATTTAGGGGAACAAGAATATGGGGGCTAGGAAGTAGATTAAGGGGTGAGTGAGCCAGCCAGTGTTTTTCTTTCGTCTGCCTTGCAGTATAGAAAGCTACTCTGAACACTGTAGAGTCTGTTGGAGGCCTGGTTTCAGGATCCTTCATGTGTTAACCTTCATCTTCTCTACTGACCTGGATTGTATCCCTTAGTCTATTTCATCTTATGATTATGAGGTTTCTAATAAAAAATAATGTTAAAACAAATTCTTCTTATTAGTTGATGCATTGTTAGGTTTACATCTATTGTGACTGAGGTTAAGGTAGAAGCTCAGTCATGCCTATGTTTACTGGAGGAACATTATGTCTTGATAATGGTAGTTCTGATTCAATATATGAAGGTACACAGTGGATTCTTTAAATGTGTAGTTTTTTTTTATTTCTGGAAAGTTTTCTTAAATTGTAGATTTAAAATTTTTGTTTATTTCAGGAAGTTTTTTAAAATTTTACTTTTCAGTATTTTTGTCCCATTGCTTTGTAGTTCTTCTTAACGGATTTCTGCTCTCTATATGTTGGATCTTCTTTCTTCACTGAGCTACAATATCTGTCACTTCTCATGAATTCTTTTTGGCTTTTCATTTCTCTTTAAATTAAACTTTTCTTCTTTTTCACCTTCTATTTCTGTTTGGACACAATCTGTTGTATTTATTGCTATGTTCTTTATAGTTTAATATTCACTTGTATAATTTTTTCTTTTATTTCTAATTCTTTCCAGAGCTTTTCCCCTCACTTTTGAATTTTTCTGATTTTAATTTATGATGTTTGTTTTGAATTATTTCCTTAATGTTTTTCACTTCATTTTAGGAGGTTACAGTTTTCTATATCTTAGCAAGTCGGTGTCAGATTTGACCTCATAACTTTCTGTTGCTCCTTTTTGTGTGACATTAGTTTTCCTGCACTTTCAAAAGACGGCATGCTTCAGGATAGTTTTTCCAAGTTCCCAGAGCTCTCCTGTTGTTTTCGTGTAGCATTCAAAATAGGGAAACTTGGTTTAGGACATACCCCGTTCTGCTACTTTTACTTGGGCTTTCTCTTCCCTTTGCCTCTATTATACCCGTCCTGCTTGATTTTGATTTAACCCCAGCAGTTCTCAGTGTCAGGCCTTCACCTGGAAGTTCATAGGTGCCAGCTGCTCTAGTCACTTAAGACACTGCTGTGGACCCTTTTCCATCGCCTGCTGTTGGGTTGGGCAAAGGCACTCCCACTTTTCAGATGCTGTTCTCAAAGAAACCTTTCCAGTGTATACCTGTGGGCTGTTTGGTTCTCCTGTTCTCAGGCACCTCACTGCCTGCCTCTGCTTTCTCCTACACAGATGCTGTACCATGCAGGTCTTAGGGCTGTTGGTGGTTTTTCCTCACATGCTTGTAGTTTCAGTTTCCTGAGGATACCTTTAACAAACTTAGTTTCTTTGTAAATGTAGATGATGAATTTTTGGTTTTGCTCCCTAATTCTATCTGTTTTAATGCTGGGATTCAGAGAGATTAAAAAACTATGCTGCTGCTGCCACCATCTTCCCAGAACCCTCTCCTCATATGTCACTTTTTTCCATCTTATTTTTCTTCACTGCCTGAGAGAGACAGAGAGAGAGAGACAGAGAGAGAGAGGTCTCATGCCCTGCCACTGAGTTTCATTATAAATTAAAACATACAACATTTTTATAAACTACTTTAAGATACTCAGGAAAAATGCTGGGGGGGTAATATTATTATAATCATTGTTAAAATTGAGTACCTCAGAATAATATGAATTTTCTTAAGCTTTGCTTTTTTAGGCATAGTTTGTTTTTTTCTAAGGAAATAGTGCATGTAGTAACTATTTCGTATTCCCCCCAAATTTTAAAGGTTGATGGAAAACATTCTTGTGATTTTTCACAGGAAGATGAGAGTCACAGAAATTCACTAAAACTAACTTCCTGGAATCAGCCATTCAGCGATCCCAAAATTGAAGATTTCTTTGTAGATTCTCATTTACAGGTAAAATTGATGTAATAAAATAGTTTTCATGACAAATATATTATGCTTGATAACTAACATACCTAGATTTATCTTAGTTTTTAGATGAAATTAAATGCAAATATAATGTACGTATTTGCTTACATATATATGGGTACATATAATCAGCAAATGAGTTAACGTTTTATATTCTCAACTTAATGATAGTGGCTTATTAATAGAACTTGGAGTACCAAGTAAGTACTTACTTAAATTTAAGTAAATACTTACTTAAATTTCTATTATGATTGCTGGGAATTTTAGCCTTCTACTAATGAAGGAAATAGTCACTGAAAAGCGTTGTTTCTATTATTAGACCTCATAATTAAAGTCCTCCAGATACTTATTGTTGAGACTCAAAAGATACATTCAGTGTAAGCAAGTGTTTTACCCCTTTCTCAATGAAATAAGCTCATTTTTATAATGATAGGATAAATGCTGAATATCATATTCTATCAATATAAAAATGTTATAGGAGATAAAAGACCTGAAATGATATTAGCTACCAATTAATGAATACCAAGAATAAATCAGGATGTGTTTTGATATTTTGTAACTCTCCAAATAATCCAGTGATACAGTATTATATACTATTATTCTCTTTTTCTGTGTGAAGAAATCAAGGCTTTAATAACATTCATAAGGTCATACATGTAGCAAGTGGCTCAGTTAGAACTCAAACCTAGTTCTGTTTTTTTTTAAGTTACTTAGGCTTATTTTATTTATTTATATTTAGTTTTAATTGGAGCATAGTTGCTTCACAATGTTGTGTTACTTTCTGCTGTACAACAAAGTCAATCAGCTATATGTGTACATATATCCCCTCCCTCTTGGACCTCCCTCCCACCCCTCCTTCCCCATTCCACCCATCTAGGTCATCACAGAGCCTGTCTGGTTTTAAAGTCCCTGCTTATTCCATAGTATTCGGCTACGGCTACAACAGGACTTCAGGTTTTTTCCTTGGCTCTGTTATTGTTCGGATCTTGTACTCTGTTTTACTTTTTGGCTTTGTTATAATTTTAACTGGTTTCCTTCCTCCAGTTGCCCTTAAACTCTAATTGCAAGCAAAGATAGTTGTCTGTGGCTGCAAGGAATTTTGATAATAAAATTCTGGGGGGAAGAGTATTTCTGGGCCAATTTCATCTCTACCCAAATGCCTTTTATCCGTGCCACTTTATATCCCTAATACTTATTATTTCTAAGTCAAACATTGTAGTATCATACAGTGTGTATAAATCTCATCTGTTCTCTTGGTCTTCTCTTCCCTGTGAGGAAATAGGTGCCTGGGAGAAAAGTTGCTATCTTGGCTGGTTTTTTTCTTTAGCTTTTGCTAAAGTGTGAATAGCCCTTTCTTTGGCACTGGATTTATTTAAGTTGGAATAGCTAACAGCTTTTACCTTTTAAAAATATAAGGTCACACAGTTTTTTGTCAAGGAGTTTTTACTTTTTTTCCCACCTTTAAATATTTTGAAGCCACTGTTAAACACAGAAAACATAATAAAACATAGCAAGCAGTTAACGAACAATTCATAGATGTAGTCTTCATTCTTGAAATGGAATAAATTATACTGGTATACCTTAGGCTAACAGACACATTGTAACTTAGATGAGACCACCTTACCTTAAAGCCCTCAAATAGTTCCAATAAATAAATTAACTCTCCCAGATTCCAAAGTATAGTCATGTTAGAATGATTTCTCCATCATGTTGGTTTAAGGAGCTAGAGTTCAAGCTGAGATGACACAAATTAATACCATTTTGAGCTTATAGAACTTACCTATTAAAAGTTTTAATAGGTATTAAATTACCTATTAAAATTTAATGTACAGATAATATAAGTACACAAGCACTGCCTTTGGGTTTAATTTTGTTTTCAGGGACCTTTAACTAGGGTTCTGAAGCTTCATTTGGTGCACAGGTCCCCTAAAATTAGGCAAAATATCGTGCATGTGTACGTTTGTCTTTTTTTCTCATAAGTGGACCTCTAGTTTTTAGCTGATTCTCAAAAGAGTCTATGAAACAGAACCCTTTTTTTTTTTTCATTTATTCATCAAATGTTTTTTGAGTACCTGTTATGTCTCAGCAACTCTGCAAGGTCCTGATGATGCTTGAACCACTCTCCTAGTCTGTCTACCACTGTAGATGTACAAGTTGTATGCTTTTTTAAATGCCTAATATAACTCTGTGTGTGTACACATGCTTAGGCAGATGCCTTTCTTGGAACATTAAATTCACCACTTTGGCCAAGCTAAAGCAAATACACCATGGGACATAGATCTGAAATAATATCCACTTCTTTCCTTTCCAAATGAGAGTCTACACTTGAGTGTCTAAAAATAGGTTAACAGGATGGCAGGTAATTGCCTAAAAAAATGATACAGTTGATTTTGTCTCTCATGTGTTTATTTTTGGATCCAGAAATAAATTCTGTAGATCTCATTATTTTGTTTTATTTGGAAAAGGAAGGCTTGTGGGTGTATATTCAATAACCTATGTTACTTTGCAACTAAGACACATTTTCAGCAGTACAAACATATATATATATATATATTTTTTTCTGTTTCTTTCCTATAGACTTCGTCTGAAACCTCAAAGAGAAAATTACCTGAGTGGTTTGCCAAAAATGAGACCTTACCTGATGCCAGCAAGAAATCAACAGCCAAAACTAAAAAGAAGGGTCTTTTTAGTTAAACTGGCAACTGCCAGAGGAATTATGTGTGTCTTGCTGTGTTATAAGAGGGAAGCTGTATTTCGTTTCTGAAAACAGTGGGGAGTAATATTTTTGTTTAAAAATTATTCTAATCTCAAAGTAAAACTCATCTATTTATTGAACAGCTGGTGTCTTAAAACAGCCTTTTGCAATTCACATAAAGTTGAGTCTTCTGAGAGCCTGAGTGAGTACCTCATAGAACAGAATCTTAGTTTCCTACGAGATTGCTTTAAGAAATCATGTTACTGCCCTGTTTTCTAATCTCTTTACTTACTTCAGCAGTATGTTTGGAATATGTAATGTGCGGTGATTTAATATAGATAACAGATTATCAGTTGTAAGTGATTATGTGTGTGATATGTAATATTCCTGTATTACCAAAATTCTGTCTTATAAATGAAGAACGCATAGTTATTTTACAAATTGTTTTTCCTATTGTTAGAAGAAACTCTTATACACATTTTAAAATGATATTAGTGGACCAGACCAGTGAAAATGAAACATTTCGGGTTCTGTGTAGAGGAAAGAATAAAACAAAGGAGACCAATTACGCTAGACAACTATGCACTTTGTATGTTATATACTATTTCTATTATTTTTCAAATAATAATAAAAAGTCCTTAGTACTGAATATTATAAAGATATGTATTTTAAACTTTCATATACTGAATTACCTTGAGCACCTTTAATTTTTGATGATGTCAGAATTTGATTCTAATACCTTTTTATGTAGCACATGTAACTGAAATATACAAAACACATACTGACACTGAATTGGGTAAATCATAGTTGATATAACTTTAAGCAGTTCACCATATGGCATTTAGTTGACTTTTTTATAAATAAAAATAATTGTCATTAATAAAAAAGAAATATATGGTTGCCGTAGAAGAATTAGAAAATCCAGAAAAGTGAAAAAAAAAAAATCACAAAAGTTCCACTGGTAGGTAATCAGTTAACCCCTTTCATGTATCCTGCCAAGCCTTTTATTTATTGATTGATTGATTTTGGCCGCACTGTGCGGCATGGAGGATCTTAGTTCCCTGACCAGGGATCAAACCCATGCCCCCTGCAGTGGAAGTGCGGAGTCTTAACCACTGGACCGTCAGGGAAGTCCCCTGCCAAGCCTTTTTATATTTACTTCTTTTCTTAGTTTGTTATGAATAATACGTGAATGAATATTCTTTGTAAAGCATTCAAGCTATACTTAAAACATTAAAGTCCCCCATATTCCCGTTTCCCCACATCCCATTACCAGCGCCTTTCCAGAAGGTAACTCCTATTGAATATGTGACGTATCGTTCTCTAGTCATTTCTTCTGCATTTACGTGCCTCTGCATGTGTAGCTACACATACATTCTTGGTGTTTTTAATTTTAATTTTTTATTTTTTTTAATTTTTTTTTTTGGTGTTTTTAATTTTAATTTTTATATTGAAGTATAGTTGATTTAAAATACTATAATCATTTCAGGTATACAACATAGTGATTCAATATTTTTGTAGATTATACTCCATTTAAAATTATAACATTGGCTATATTCGTTGTACTGTACAATATGTTCTTGTAGCTTATTTATTTTATATACAGTAGTTTGTACCTTTTAATTCCCTACCCCCATATCTCCCCTCCCCATTATCTTCTCTCTGGTAACCACTAGCTTCTGTATATGTGTGAGTCTCTTTCTGTTTTTTATATTCATTCTTTTTTATTGTTGTTTTTTCTACATATAAGTGATAACATACAATGTTTGTCTTTCTCTGCGTGTCTTATTTCACTGAACATATTACCCTCCAGGTCCGTCCATATTGTTGCAAATGGCAGAATATCATTCTTTTTTATGGCTGAGTAATATTCCAGTGTCACTCTCTGCAGATGACATGATATTTATATATAGAAAATGCCAAAGCCTCCACCAAAAAACTGTTGAAACTGATAAATGAATTCAGTAAAGTTGCCGGATACAAGATTAATATATAGAAATCTGCTGCTTTTCTATACACTAATCGTGAGCTATCAGAAAGAGAAAGTAAGAAAACAGAAGTTTTAAAGTTGCCCAGAATAAAATAACTAGGAATAAACTTAACCAAGGAGGTGAAACACCTATACTCTGAAACCTAGAAAACATTGATGAAGGAAATTGAAGATGTTACCAAAAATGGAAAGATATCTTATGTTCCTGGATTAGAATGTTAAAATGTCCATACTACCCAAAGCAATCTACAGATTTAATGTAATCCCTATCAAAATACCCATGACATTTTTCTCAGAACTAGGACAAATAATCCTAAAATTTACATGGAACCACAAAAGATTCTGAATAACCAAAGCAATCCTGAGAAAAAAGAACAAAGCTGGAGGTATCATACTCCCTGACTTCAGACTATACTACAAAGCTACAGTCATCAAAACAGTGCTGTACTAGCACAAAAACAGACACATAGATCAATGGAACAGAATAGAGAGCCCAGAAATAAACCCATGCTCTATGGTCAATTACTCTGCAACAAAGGAGGCAAGAATATACAATGAGGAAAATATAGTCTCTTCAATAAGTAGTGCTGGGAAAACTGGACAGCTACATATAAAAGAGTGAAATTAAAACATTTTCTCACAGCATACATAAAAATAAACTCAAAATGGAATAAAGGCCTAATTGTAAGACCAGGATCCATGAAACTCCTAGAAGAAAACACAGGCAGAACACTCTTTGACATAAATCTTTTTTTTTTTTTTTTTGCACAAATGAGATCATGCTGTATTTAATTTTCTGCAACAACCTTTTTCTATTTAATCTATGATGAAGATCTTTGCATGTCAGTATATATATATCGGTCTAGTTTTTTTTTTTGTTTGTTTGTTTTTTTGTGGTATGCAGGCCTCTCACCGCCGTGGCCTCTCCTGTTGCAGAGCACAGGCTCTGGACACGTAGGCTCAGCAGCCATGGCTCACGGGCCCAGCCGCACCGCGGCATGTGGGATCTTCCCGGACCGGGGCACAAACCCGTGTCCCCTGCATCAGCAGGTGGACTCTCAACCACTGCACCACCAGGGAAGCCCTCTAGTTGTTTTTTATAGCTATTTACTATGCTATTTGGTGAATACACTATAATTTATATAATCACTTCCTATTGGTGGTTTTGTCATTTTTCTGTATTTCAGATTGTTTCTAGAAGTACAGTTAGAAGAATTAAGCACAAACATATTATTTGTTACTTACATTTCACTTGAATATATTATGAACATGTTTTTCCATGTCATTAAATAGACTTTCACAGAATCTTTTGGGGGGCTTTTCTATAGTGCAGTGATTCTCCAAGTGTGGTCTGCAGTCCATTAGGAGTCCCTGAGACCCTTCAGGGGATCTGCAGAGGCAAAACTATTTTTATAATACCAAGATGATATAACATTTGCCTTTTGTACTATGTTGAGATTTGCATTGAGGGTGCATAGATGCGGTGAGTAAAACCACTAGCAATTTAGTGCAAATCAAGGCAGTGGCAGCAAATTATTGATTTTATTAATTCTCATTTCTTAAACACATTTTTTCAATATTCATTGTGATAAAATGGCAAATACACATAAAGCATCTGTGCTATATACCAAAGTATGATGGTTGTCTTCTAGAAAAGCACTTGTTTTATTGTTTGAGTTGTGAATTGAACTAGTTGCTTTTTTCCTGTGGAATATCGTTTTTACTGACAAGAATGACTGATAGAAAATATGATTGGTTATTGCTCCTAGGCGGAGGCATAGGCTTCCTAGACCCCCAACTTCTCCATTTTCCATGAGCTCCTTCTGGGTTGTTTTTTTTTTTATCCTCCCTGCCTCCCTCCTCCCCTTGCCTGACACCCTCCCACCAGAGTGTGTTTTGGAAGCTGTGTCATATATATCTGCCTCATCACCAGGTGCAAATAACTGGTACAGAATGACCTCAGAACATTACAGAGTATTTACCATAAGAATATATGGACTAAACTTTAATTTCATGGATGAAGCATCTTTCTTCAGCAGCCTCAGGCCTCAAGTTTGCCTCAGGTTCATTCTTAAAAACAAGGAATTTCTTTTATTGATTGATTGATTGGCCAGGTTCATTCTTAAAAACAAGGAATTTTCTTCCTTCCTCCCTTCCTTCCTTCCTTCTTTCCCGGGTTCTTTCTTAAAAACGAGGAATTTTATTTATTTATTTATTGGCCAGGTTCATTCTTAAAAACAAGGAATTTTACTTATTTATTTATTGGCCGGGTCGCGACTTGCGGGGTCTTAGTTCCCTAACCAGGGATTGAACCCGGGCCAAGGCAGTGTAAGCCCTGAGTCCCAACCACTGGACCGCCAGGGAAATCCCCAAGGAATTTCTTTTAGAGTACTATTCTTATGCTGTCTCCTCCAAAAATATTAATTACTTTCTCTTCTGTGTTATTTGTCATTGGACCATAGGACCATGATAACAGAGTCAGACAAATCCCTGACATTTATTTAGAATTCAGAAAACTGTGGTCTAGATAGTTAGAAGGAGAAAAGAATAGAGGATTCTTCCTATTCAAAGAGGTTGCTTTAGAATTAACTGAGAGCATGAAAGATCCAGTGGAATGACCTTAAAATCATTTTAGAGCTAACTAGACATTCATCTGTCTTATGGGGAGCAAGCAAATGCAAAACCAACAAAAACACTGTAAGAAAGTTAGCTATAGTCTTGATGGGAGCTGCAAACTGAAGTCGTCTCAGCTATCTGAGATGTCCCCATCATTTTGCTTGGGAAGGCAATCCAAAAATCATTGGGATAACATAGTTAACTTCCTTACTGGCTAATAAGCATGTTTAAACCTCAGAAAAGATGAGAAGTAGAATACAGAGTAAATTAAACCTTTGGTTGTAATATTTTAGGGTTAAGGAGTGATAAATACATATTTGATATTGTAAGCATTTGTAATGCTTGAGATATTTTAGCTTATTAGAATAACAGATTATTCTTGTGACTCATTTAAAACGTAGCATTGAAAAATTAGTAATATATGCTTGTTATTTTTAAGTTGAAATCCTACCGTTCGAAACATTATTGGGATATTTAATAAGAGTTTTTAAATTTGTTATTGCATAGAAATAGTATCGTCAACAAATTTCCCTTATAAGAGAAAGAAAAAAAATCTAATATTATACTTACTAGTAATACTAAGGTTGATATTAATATCTATTCATTAAACCCAGAGCTTTCATTGTTTTTCAGAAAAATTAATAAAACTTCAGCCTCATGTCCAGCTTCATTTTCTAACTCAATTTAAAAAGGTTATTGAGAAGTATGTACTCATTATGTTTCAGTCAATAAATATTTGCATTTATAGTTTTCAAGACAATATGCTGACTTCATAAAAGATGGAACAAATAGGAGAAGCAGCAGCAATATGGTTCCCATGCTTCAGAGAAGGGAAGGTTTACTCTGTGAAGAATTAATAGAAGAGCATCTCACAAAAGTATTTTCTTACAGGAACCAACATGTTTGTTTTTGTTTTTGTTTTTAATTTTTGGCTGTGCAGTATGGCATGCAGGATCTTAGTTCCCCAACCAGGGATCGAACCCATGCCCCATGCAGTCCACTTAACCACTGGACCGCCAGGGAAACTTCCCTGGAAACACAACCTTTTTAAAGAAAATATTTATTTCACATAC